GCAGCGCGGTATTAGCACAGTCACAGTAGGTGCCGGGGGGTGACGGGCAATGTGGGCAGATGTGGTGATGGAAAGCCCTTAGGCCAGTCTTGTGCAGCTGTTTTACCATCAGCCTTATTATCGCACTTGTTTACCCAGGAAAGCCTCGCTGGATCTCAAGACTTCTTCAGGAGGGTCCTTCCAAGTTGGGAGCATTGTTGCAGTGTGTGTAATGCCAATGAGTAATCTGCAGTGTAATTTTTAAGCATTATTAAAATCTATTGCATGTTTTTTTCCGCTGCGGTTGGAAATTAAGCGAACCCGGACGGAAACCCCATGCAGAACAGGGGGGAGGCATAAAAATGTCGTGCAGAAAGGCGCCCGAGTCGGGAATCGAACCGAGGGCCTTCTTGTTTGTGAGGCGAAAGTGCTATGACTGCGCCGCCACCCTCCCGCTGTCATTTTATAATTTAATAGAATCACACCCTGGTGATCGTTATGTCAATCACAGCAGTCCACGGTGTGTTAGCTGGCTCTTTCTTGGAGTCGTATATTTCGGATTGTTTTGGCCGCTTTCTCTTGTGTTAGACTTGAGTCTAGGTTTAGAATTGGGGGTTGAGGCAGGGTCTGAATGGACATTTTTTATGTTCTGGACTGAGGTGACTGTACAAGTCATGAACATGTTTGAAAGAGCATTACTCTTTGTCTAAGCAGGGTTATACAGTATTTACCATAATTTGAAAGGATGAAATCCCCTGCCTACGATTTCACACATTATCACATTTGCACAATGTGTCTTAGCGAGTGCGATATTAATGTGATCCATCACAGGCGCTCTATTTATTACGGACTATCACGTTGTGCAGCAGCGTCCGCATGGAAGGAAGGTGACAATTACGGCAGTATTCGTCTCTCGCTGACTTATCGCCTGGAGGAGGCTGCCTTCTCCGCTGGGGCGTATGATGTCGACTCCGATCAACCCTCCTAGGCGGTCAGGCGACTCGGTGATATCATTGGTCATCGCTAACAATGCAGTGCCCCCTTAGGTGGCGGTAATATGTGTGCCGACATTAAGCGGTTCAGGTGCCACCTCGGTTGTACACGCGTGGACACAGAGCAGGCCTGAGTGCGTTGAGCCTGACTTGCTGCCCCACAGGCACAGAGACGTGGACAGAGGAGTGCTGGGTTGTGAGCGAGCAAGCAGGGAGGCTGGGTGAGCGGCTCTTGTGTTGAAATGTCACGCGCTTCCGTTTGGCTGCCCCCACCGCGGTGAGCGGAGCATGCTAATTCTCTTCCGTGGCACCGGACCTCACAGGCATCGTCTCCTGGGTTCATTTAAATGTGATGCAGGGTCTGCTGCATGCATCCACCTGGACTGTGGTCGTGAATGCTGGACGCCGTTTCAATTCAAGTTGCCAATTCGTGCATTGGTTTGGTCCGGCATTTATTTAGCGGCAGATACTGCGCAGGCTTCCAGAGAGAATAGCGCTCGCGTGCGAAAACCCGGCATCCCCTACACGTCACCACGAGCGGTGCAGGAGCACCCGAGAAGAAGTGGGTTATCCGAGGCTGTATCGACAGCGCGCGCGCGCACACACACACACCCCGTGCCGTGACCGGAATGCGTAATCATTGTTTTCCGTACACAGTGCTCGCTCGCTGTCGCGTTTATTTCTATGCCGCGTCTCGGGAACGCTCTGCCCGCCGCTTGCTCGCTCTGCACACGGCGCTTCCTGCATAGCAGCAGCAGCTTTGTCCGCATTCCCGGCCGCCTGTCGCCTGCCCGGGCAGCGTGAGCGCTGCAGCTCCCGCCGCCCCTGTTGCCTGCATCTCCGGATCGGCCAGCGGACTTGGCACTCGTCCATCGGCTTCACAGTGCCTGTTTTGTGCAGGTCGGGTGGTGAGCTCGGGCAAGCACACTGTGCTCTTGTGAGACGATGGTAATTTGTGTAATGTTCATCACGGAAGAATGCAACGTGTGTAATTCGTGCAGCAGAATGCGTTTCGTGTGCAGCGTTCGATGGGTGCAGTGCCAAGGATTCGATCCGCGTTAACTCCTGAAATGTAATATTTGCGAGCCAAGATTGAATGTGAAATCGCCATGGTTCTCTGGGTACGCTTCCAGGGCTTAATTGGTGCTGCGTGTCAGGGGGTCGCGGCGTGCGTCCAGCCCTTGTTTAATTGGCCACGTGCAGTTTGAGGTGCGTCGTGTAACAGTGTCAATCCCCGCTCGTCGTCCTCGCCCGTTCGAGTCGTGGAGCAGGTGGGGGCGATGCCTATTTCACTCATGTTATTGCCTCGGTAAGCCGGTGCTGCTGTGGCCTCAGTGTGGCTTCCCCTCGTGCAGGGATTTCGCCGTGCGTCACGCTCCGGTACCGACGATGTGCATGCAGGTGCCGAGGCAGCCTGGCCCTCGTCCTCTCTGACGCTCGGTCGTGGTCCTGTGATGATGCTGCAAGTGGCAGTTGCGTCACACCCGGGCTTAATGAATGGCGTGAGGGCCCCCTCGCTGAGCGTGCACGCGCGTCGCGGGCGCTCACCTAACCCTATGGATCTGGCTCAAGCCCAGGTCTGCCTGGCAGGGAGCCAAGCTCCATTACACCTAATGGGGCATAACTATCCTGAGTTCGTGCTAGAGCCGGTCGAGCGGGTTACATCCCCACCACGCCCGTGCTCGCTCGCTCGCTCACTCACTCGCTCCACACCCTCGCAAGCATGGATGACGGGCGGCAGACGAGGAGCGCTAAACTAAAGTCGCACAAGTCACTTGGTATGGCCCCCTTCTCCCCGCGCGTCTCTCTTGGCTGTGGGCTCGGAACCCAGCCCAGGTACCAGTCGGTGGCGACGGCCGGAGGGACGCGGTGGTGCCGATCGTTTGGGAGGACGCTGGCCCAAGAGGTCGCCGCCTCGTTCCCCCGTGTCTTGTCGCCGCGTTTACTTCGGGTGTCATCGTGACAGCGCCAGTGTCCGGCCAGAAAACCCCACGGTAGAGTTCATTTTTTAAAGCCGTTCTCGTTTTAAACAGCTCCAGAGCGTGTCCACACCTGGAACCATTTTGTTGTCATTGGTGGTTTGCAAGTGTGAAAATTTAGTTCATGACGAACACGATTTTAAACCAACGTTATTAAGGAAGTAAAAATGTGACGCAACCTGGAAATTTCTTTCCACCTTCTCTAGCCGGGGGAATTTGTTATTTGAGGTAGGTATTGTGGGTGCTATGGGTGCTGTTCTACTCGAGTTATGGTGTGTGGATGTAGGGACACGTGCTTTGGGTTTGGTTGTGTTGGTGTGTGTGTGTGGGTAGGGACGTGGTTGGGTCTCGGTTGTGTTGGTGTGTGTGGGTGTAGGGACTCGTGGTTGGGGTTCGGTTGTGTTGGTGTGTGTGGGTGTAGGGACTCGTGGTTGGGGTTCGGTTGTGTTGGTGTGTGTGTGGGTAGGGACCCGTGGTTGGGTCTCGGTTGTGTTGGTGTGTGTGGGTGTAGGGACTCGTGGTTGGGTCTCGGTTGTGTTGGTGTGTGTATGTGAGTAGGGACGTGGTTGGGTCTCGGTTGTGTTAGTGTGTGTGGGTATAGGGACTCGTGGTTGGGTCTCGGTTGTGTTGGTGTGTGTGGGTGTAGGGACTCGTGGTTAGGTCTCGGTTGTGTTGGTGTGTGTGGGTGTAGGGACTCGTGGTTGGGTCTCGGTTGTGTTGGTGTGTGGGTAGGGACGTGGTTGGGTTTCGGTTGTGTTGGTGTGTGTGGGTGTAGGGACTCGTGGTTGGGGTTCGGTTGTGTTGGTGTGTGTGGGTGTAGGGACTCGTGGTTTGGTCCCGGTTGTGTTGGTGTGTGTGTGGGTAGGGACTCGTGGTTTGGTCCCGGTTGTGTTGGTGTGTGGGTACAGAGACACGTGGTTGGGGTTCAGTTGTGTTGGTGCTTGTGGGTATAGGGCCAGTTGTAGTGTGGATGCTGGGGTTGTCGTTCCGGGCTACGATTAGAGTGGACAGGCATTCAGGACGCTTGGGGTCAGTGCCCGGTGCCAACCACGTTACTTGCGAGCGGCTTCGCCTCTGCGATTGCGAGAAGTGGGAGCTGAGAGCTGCGTTGACGTTGCTGCCCTCACCGTGTCACCCCGTGTGGCTCCCACCCAGACCTTCACCTCGTGTCTCATCCCAGTGTAGCTGAGATCCAGTCTGGGGTAGCAGGGAGGTATCTATCTTCTTTTGCCACTTTCTTTTCTCGTGCACAGGAAAGCCACAGAATCACTCTCGTTGTGTCTCGGCGTGCCATGTAAACAGTTGTTTGGCTGCTGAGTGTCATTTACACATTTCACTTTCAAGATTCATATTCACTTGTATTGGGGGGTGACATGGCTGAGCGGGCGCGCGTTTGCCGCTTGCTGCAGAGCTTCGCGGTTCGCATGGCAGGCCGTCCAGGTTAGTAGTGGTGGTATTTACTGTAAAGCACTCCCCCCCCCCCCGGCCAACTGCTTCACGGATATTAAAGATCCCGGAGTCACGGCACAACCTGCTGAAATTTGAAAACTTGCATGCAAATTACTCGATTGGGAATGGCAATCGTCATCACTTGGCAGGACCCTCGCGAAAAAGAATCATGAGACTTAGCACGCCGTAAATAAGCACAATAGTTAAGAATGATGACAACTATTCCCAGAATGGTGAGTCTGTGTACTTGCGAGTGATGTGAGCTGCTCGTTTGGTGAGCGAAGCCAGGCGTGCCCGTGTGGCCACACCTGGCAAAGCCTGAGTGCGCACTGCGTGCCAGCGCCCCTTGGCTTTGCCGACAACTTCCTCATTCAGCAATGTTCCATTTTTAGATCGACAGTTTTGCATCATAAAGGGAAGTGTGGCACCTGAATATTTTCTTTCCTCGGGAGAAGCTACAAGCCGAGCGCCGCCTGCGCAGTGGAGCGTCCGCTGCGGAGTGGACTCTCCCTTGTGCGCCGTGCCGCCTAGTCGTTTCCTCGCGATGCCGACGTCTGTGGGAAGTGCGGGGCTGTGATCGTTGCCATGCTCTGTCCTCCAGCAGGAGCAGCGGCGAGGGCGAGCTGGGCCGTGCGAAGGGTGAGCGCACGCCGAGACGCAGCAGCTGCCACAACCCAGACGCCCGCCACCACCGCACCCTTGTCTCACCACCAACATTTGGTCAGTGTCAACCACAGCACCGCCACTCTCTCAGTGCCAACCACAGCACCACCACTCAGTGTCAACCACAGCACCACCACTCAGTGTCAACCACAGCACCACCACTCACTCAGTGTCAACCACAACACCACCACTCACTCAGTGTCAACCACAGCACCACCCTTCAGTGTCAACCACAGCACCACCACTCAGTGTCAACCACAGCACCACCACTCTCTCAGTGGGAACCACAACACCACCACTCACTCAGTGTCAACCACAGCACCACCACTCACTCAGTGTCAACCACAACACCACCACTCTCAGTGACAACCACAGCACCACCACTCAGTGTCAACCACAGCACCACCACTCTCTCAGTGACAACCACAACACCACCACTCTCTCAGTGTCAACCACAGCACCACCACTCTCTCAGTGTCAACCACAGCACCACCACTCTCTCAGTTACAACCACAACACCACCACTCTCTCAGTGGGAACCACAGCACCACCACTCTCTCAGTATCAACCACAGCACCACCACTCTCTCAGTGTCAACCACAGCACCACCACTCTCTCAGTTACAACCACAGCACCACCACTCTCTCAGTGGGAACCACAACACCACCACTCTCTCAGTGACAACGACAACACCACCACTCAGTGTCAACCACAGCACCACCACTCTCAGTGACAACCACAGCACCACCACTCAGTGTCAACCACAACACCACCACTCTCAGTGACAACCACAGCACCACCACTCAGTGTCAACCACAGCACCACCACTCAGTGTCAACCACAGCACCACCACTCAGTGACAACCACAACACCACCACTCTCTCAGTGGGAACCACAACACCACCACTCTCTCAGTGTCAACCACAACACCACCACTCTCTCAGTGACAACCACAACACCACCACTCGGTGTCAACCACAGCACCACCACTCTCTCAGTGACAACCACAACACCACCACTCTCTCAGTGACAACCACAACACCACCACTCAGTGTCAACCACAGCACCACCACTCTCTCAGTGACAACCACAACACCACCACTCTCTCAGTAACAACCACAGCACCACCACTCAGTGACAACCACAGCACTACCACTCTCTCAGTGACAACCACAACACTCTTCTTGGTTCTTTCGGTAAAGTCACGTAGAAGGGAAGTAATAAAATAATAAAAATAAAACATAATAAAACAATTCTCACGACGTTTCGGCCACAACGCAAGCAGCCGTCCTCAGGCGAAGAATGAAGAACCACCAAGCTTCTTCGCCTGAGGACGGCTGCTTGCGTTGTGGCCGAAACGTCGTGAGAATTGTTTTATTATGTTTTATTTTTATTATTTTATTACTTCCCTTCTACGTGACTTTACCGAAAGAACCAAGAAGATGAATCCCTGCAGTCACGAAAGCTTTAAATCGAAATTTAACCACAACACTACCACTCTCTCAGTGACAACCACAACACCACCATTCTCTCAGTGACAACCACAACACCACCACTCTCTCAGTGACAACCACAACACCACCACTCTCTCAGTGGGAACCACAACACCACCATCACTCTGCAGGTGTGACCTGCAACACAATCACGCTACTTCTTGTTAACCACCATTACTCATATTGTGGCCGGGCTGAGACTCTTAACTCTCCGCACTTGAGTATCCAGCTTTCTCATGGCCGGCTGCTCGGATTTGATCTCAGCCAGTGCCAGCTCTATCCCTCTTCATTCTGAACCGCCCTACCACCCCCACTGGTGGTGAGTTTTTGAATGTATGATGCTCGTACATCACTGACGCTGCAGACCCCAAGATATTTCGATAACGTACAATAACGTTCAACATTTGGGTTTTATTCATCATCTAGAAGCAACAGCAAAGGTTGATGATGGGCTTCGATATAAATCCTTGCTTGCTGGATTAGATAATGCATGGAGGAGATTGCTTTGGGGGGGGGAGTGCGTGGAGGGGAGTAGACTTATTTTCATCATTATTATTTCTACGCTTGTTTATCTAGCAAAGCCTCACTTGAGTTTTGAGACTGAATGAGGGTACTGCTAAGTTTTTCAAGGTTTGGGGGGGTGTCAATTTCCATGCGTTTTCCACTTAAGTCATTTGCTAGTAATTTTCAAGTTTGAACCGTGACACCGACGCACAGTGGCCTACTACTCTTCAAACGACATCGTGGAATCCTGAACGTCCACTGTGAAGCGGATGGTGCGTAGCAGTTTGCAAGTAATACACCCACAAGATTAGCCGGCCCGGTGGCTCCGTGCTAAAGTTGAGCAGCTCGCAATCAGAAAAAAAGGTGTCAGTTTTGTTGCCAGATAGAAGGGTAAAAAACCAATTATCATATTTTTTACTGGCAAATGAGGTTCCAATGGTGTAAATGCTTTACCCCGAGCTCTCATACTCTGATGGTGCATTGTCTTTGAGTTGTGCGCCTTTTGGCGTCATCTGGTCCAACCCATGTGAGACTAGGCTCTAAGGAAAGCTGTCTCGGGTGTGGACCAATCAACTTCAAGGACAGTGCATACATTATCAGAGTTATGTTTTTTGTTGGCATTATGACTGCAGGTATTGTGGTCTATGCAAACATGACTCCTTGTAAAAAAGGTGTCAGTTTTGTTGCCAGATAGAAGGGTAAAAAAACAATTATCAATCAGAAGGTTGTGAGTTCAAACACTGGTCACGGGTTGACTCAGCTCATCATCCCTCCCGGGGGTGGATAAAATAAGAATAAAATACTTTTTGAGGAAGTCAACAGTGGTTTGCCTATGGATAGACTTGTCCCTGCCATAGGAATGAGGAATATCCATGACTGGCTCAGGGCTGAACCAAGGAGATCAGTCAATCTTAATTTTGCGTGCCAACATCGCCCTCAATAAAGTAGTGCATCAGTGCAACATTACGAATAGCATGATAAAAATAAGTAGCGAATACATAATAAGTAAAGAAGCAGTATTGAGAATAGGTTTTCCCCTTTTTTCTGGCAACAAAACAGGTGTTAAGATGTTAAAACACTAAACTGAAACCGTTTACAAGGAATCATGTCTGCATTAACCACAATACTTGTGGTCAGGATGCAAACAAAAAACGTACTCTGATAATATATGCATTGTCTTTGAAACTGATTGGTCCACACCAGGGACAGCTTTCTTTTGAGTCTAGTCTCAAAACGGTGTTAGACCAGAGAGATGCCTTTTTGTTTGCATTCTGACCACAAGTATTGTGATTAATGCAGACATGGTTCCTTGTAAAAGGTTTCAGTTTGGTGTTTTAACATCTTAACACAGCTGTTTTGTTGCCAGAAAAAAGGGGGAAACCTATTATCATATTTTGGTACTGGCAAAGGTGGTCCCATGATGTCGAAACAGTATTGTTTTTTCCCCTTCTTAATTTTTTTATTTTATGAGAAGGCGAGTCTGAACAGGTACGTCTTGCACAGACCACTGAATTGAGAGACTCTGTGCATTTCAAATGTACGGTGGCAGGCCGGGTGGTGTTCCAGATTTTTTGGGGCTGCACCCCAGAAGGCTCATCCATCCTGAGCTGATGAATACGTGCTCATTTGAGCGAGCGAATCACTTTGCCTTTGAGCATCAATCGGAGCGGCCTTCCAGCTTTGAACCGCAAACCTCTGCAACGAGCGGCGAACACGCTACCACTCGGCCATGCCACCACCCCTTGTGAGTGTGCGCAGCCCGGTTATTGCTGCTGCGGTGATTGCCGCGCTGCCGCGTTTGATTGTAACTCCGCGGCACTGCCGGGCCGGGCCCCGACAGGACATGACGGAGAGCGGCGGGCACACGGCGGTGGTGCGTGCGCGCTTCGACTTCCAACGCAACAACGAGGATGAACTGTCGTTCAGCAAGGGCGACATCATCACGGTGACGCGTCCCGAGGACGGGGGCTGGTGGGAGGGCACGCTCGCCGGCCGCACCGGCTGGTTCCCCAGCAACTACGTGCGTGAGCTCAAGGGCAACGGTGAGCGGCGCCGTCCGCACGTTGCGTGCGGGGGCCGAGTCCTCGTGTGCCCTGAGTGGTGGCGCTGATTTCGCACGCACCGTCTGCCCGGTGGCTCGGCCGTAGAGTGGGCAGCTCGCGGTCGAGTTCAAATCCTGGTTGGGGGGTTGACTCGGCCTATCGTCATCATCCTTCTGGGACAGATAAACAGTGGTTGTTCTATAGATGCAATTCCCCCCCACCATAGAAATGTTAAATTTAACCACTGGCTCAGTACTATTAACGAGAGATAGAACACCACCTCAGTGCTCATTTGAATCGGAAATAACTTGGATTCTGCACTGCTGGGAGATTGATATACTCGCGTGAGTTTGATCAGAGGAATAAGCCTAAGGATGTCTGAGATCCTTGGCCACAAATGGTGCTGCCTTGTTCTCGTGCATTACAAACTCACATTTTTTTACACAAAATTAAGTAATTTAACCAGGAAGTCCTCACTGAGTCTCAAGACGTTTTCAGCAGGACTCTGCGTTGGATGTTTGTCTGGTTGCATTTAGTAATAGACACAAGAGCTCATTTACCTGATTCATATATTTGTCACGTTTAGTAGAAAAGTAAAAAATGATAAAATTTGAAAGCAAAACACCACGTTTGATTTAATGTTTTCTGGCTGCCTTAAGCTAAATCGTTTATACTTTGACATTTCCTGCAATCTTCCCAATTCCCTCTCCTTATCTGATGGAGTCGCCTTTCTTTTCAGAAATCACATTATATCTCTGGCATACTTAAAAAAGACTATAATTTGCAGGTGTAATTTACCTTGTTACTTTTCCTTTTTATTAAAATATTGTTACATTTTGTCTCTTTGTTACAAAAGAGCGCACAATGCGACTCTTTCATGTGTCTGTCTCTACATATAATAAATGAAAATATCCTTTCAAAGACCCATTCGCCCCACAACTTCCTGGGAGTGCATAACTTCAGCGGCATTGATCCAGTATGAGCGCATGTACGGTTGGTAGGTGTAACCAAGGTCACCCTTGCAAAAGAGGCAGCGGAATTTCGTGTATCTCAGTGGATTTATATAATCTCCGAGCTCATTAAAGGAGACCGACATGGCTAAAACATTTCCTCGAAAACTTGACTTTCAGAAAGACCTACGTCGCCCAAATCGAAAAGTACTGGCAAGAGCGTGGACAGCCCGATCTCCAACAAGGGCTACTACAATGTGGTATGTCTCTCGTCCCTCCTGGACACTTTAATCCAGCAGCCAGGGCTGAAGGTCCGCAGAGATACAACAACAGTTGAGTGGAGCGCGTGCCCCCATTCCACAGGTGCTGCAGAATATCGTGGAGACGGAGCGCGAGTACTGCCGAGAGCTGCAGCACCTCCTCGGCAACTTCTTGAGGCCGCTGCACAACTCCGACAAGTAACTCGCACCTTGTTGCTGAGCGTGCCCTGCGTGCGAGAGCGTGTGAGCGTGGGAGGGTGACAGATGCAGACGTGCTCTGTGCCATCCTTCATAGGTGCTCACTCACAGTGCCTTGCCTAACAGTCCGTTTAGGCCACGTGAGGACCTTTAACCTGATCGAGCGGCCCTCGCGTGCCGGGTGCAGGCTCTCTGCCACGGATGTGTCCACGCTGATGGGAAACCTGGAGGACGTGTGCGCCTTCCAGCAGGGCCTGGTGCAGGCCCTTGAGGACTGTACAAAGTGAGTCTTTCTTACATGTGGCATTTAAAAGCAGTGGGCTTGGTTTGTAGCTTTGTGAGTCGAGTTTGGAGGAGCCATTAAGTTGCGTCTGATGTTGCCAAATGAATTCCGTTTGGTGTACCTTAGTGGGTGTAGATCTGTGTGTGTATCTCCTCGTGTATGTATCTCCACAGGTTGCCAGAGTCCCAGCAGACAGTGGGCGGCTGCTTCATGTCCCTAATGAATCAGATGCATGGCCTCTACCTGGCGTACTGCTGCAACCACCCCTGGGCCGTGCGCACCCTCCAGGAGCACAGGTGGACCTGCCATCAACCCAGTCCCTATCACAGAATCCTGTCCCTATCCCAGCCCCCTGTCCCTAACTCAGCTCCTATCCATATCCAGCTCCTATCACTATCCCAGCCTCTATCACTAACTCAGCTCTTATCCCTATTCCAGTCCCTATCACTATCCCAACCTCTATCACTATTCCAGCCGTAACCTTAGGCCCTATCCGTAATCCATCCCCCATCCCTAACTCAGCCCCTATCCCTAACCCATATTGAACACCCATATTGAACACTCACGTTCCTGATGGCCCACACTGACTGCTGCGGTGCATGTCCGTGTCCGTATGTGACAGTGAGATGCTGGGAGAGTTCATGGAGAGCAAAGGTGTGAGTAGCCCTGGCCTGCTCATGCTCACCACCAGCTTGAGCAAGCCCTTCATGCGTCTCGACAAGTACCCGACCCTGCTGAAGGAGTTGGAAAGGCACATGGAGGTGGTGATGATGATGATGATGATTTTATATGGCCAGTGAATATCAACGATTTTAGATTAAGTGTTTATTCTTTGGGTCTTTCGGTAAAGCCACGTAGATAGAAAACATTATAAAAAATATCACGACGTTTCGATCGCAACGCAAGCAATCGTCATCGTGTGAAAAAATAGCAAGAGAGCTGCTGAGGCAGGATGTTATAAGGTTTGAGATGGGTGTAGCCCAAGGGTCATAAGCGAAGTGGGCGGGGATAGTGATGAAATTTGCTTGTAAATGTAAGATCGGAGAGGGCTGGGCAACGTCCACCACGACGAAGCTGCGGGGGTGGCCCTTGCATTGTGAGAGATTAGCATGTCAATGTAAGATCGTAGAGCCACCGCCACATCAAGGAAAACGAGCAACGGTGGCTGTGTTAGTGAGACATTTAACCTGTTAATGTAAAGGCATTTAACCTGTTAATGTAACACCAGAGAGTCGAAAATAACTACTAAACATCACAGCCAGTTATTACTTAACCTGGTTAATAACGTCCTTCCAATGATTGCTCAATTTGTACCCATCTTCTCGGTTGAAATTGTGTCTGTGTTTATATATCTGGATGGCTTCATGAACGAATCTTTGCTGATAGCCAGTGGGCTTGCAGAGTACCTTCCTCTTGGAAAAATCAATTTCGTGTGAGCCCACAGCGTTAAAACAATGATCAGCCACGGCAGAGATATTGGTCCTACCGTGTTTCAGATCTGCGTTGTGTTCACGAACACAGTCCGAGACATGTCGCTTTGTTTCCCCAACGTAACTACTGCCGCAGACACAGCTTAGTTTGTAGACGCCGGGGTATTGCATGTCAGGGATCACATCTTTTACAGATGGGATCAGATCACAAATTTTATGTACTGTGTTGAATCGAACCTGGATGTTGTGTTTGCACATGATCGTAGATATATTTTTGGTGACCCCTGCTATGTATGGCAAGGTGAGATGGTTTTGATTGGTTCCTCAGATGGTTCTTTCCCAACGGTTGGGGTGATGGTAGCTTTACGGATTGTGTAGTCTGAATATCCATTCATCTGGAGGGCTTGGTGTACGTGTTCCAGTTCACTGGCTAGGTGGTGATGGTCACAAATACATAGAGCTCTGTGGTGTAGAGTTTTGATGAGGGAATTATTCTGGGATGGATTTTGTGGGAGTCAGGTTTTAGGTAGGCATCCGTATGGGTGGCTTTCCTGTAGACAGTGTCCCATTGAGCCATCTGGTCTCTTTTCGATTTAAACATCCAATACTTATTCTCTGGTTCTTTCGGTAAAGTCACGTAGAAATAAATAAAATAAAATAATAATACAATACGACGTTTCTATTGCAACACAAGCAACCATCATCAGGTACAAATGAATGAGAAAACAAACAAACCGAATGAACCAAGGAATAATTCGTGAACTTGGCAATCAGGTTTTCTGTGCATTTAGCTGATATTGAGGCGGCTGACGAGGCAGTCATGTTATCTACATGTTCCCAATCAGATATAGACATTTTTTTCTGTCAAGTTCATACTCCTGTCCAAGAAGAAGCCAGATCCACATGTTAAAAAGTTAGATGGTGACAAGATTGTTATCAATCAGCTAAAGGGTTGAATTTCGCAGTCACCCCTAAACACATCCCAGTTGATGATATCATTGCCCAGATTGACATAGCCCTTAAGGGTTTGGGACACATTCCTGCAGATGTGGCAAGATCGGAAATCGCTGCAATCCTCATAAACGCTAAGACACCTATTATCAACATCAGTAAGGATGAGTGCTTTGAGCTGTCTCAACTAAAAATAGAGAGATGACATAGTCATCCTCTCAGCCGACAAGGGCGTGATCAAGTCTGTAAATGACGAAGAAATCCCATCCTAACAAAATAATAACCGCATGTTTCAAACACCCCGCACAAACGTGCAAACAGTACTAAGCCTTTGTGAATTATGCAAAAAAAACTGTGACTCATTGACAGGCAGCAAGCAGTTCTTCAGGACATGTATTTTGATGGTAGCCTGAAGACAAGAGGGGCACAATGCTCTTTTGGTCCGGGACTGCTTGTGGTGTTTTGCACGGCGCACCAAACGTGACCGTCGTTGTTAATGTACATGACGCGAGCAGGCACCAAGGTAGCTCGTCGCTAATGTGGCGGCTCTGTTTACAGGACATTCACCCGGACAGAAACGACATCCACGGGGGCATGACGGCATTCAAGACCCTGGCGGTGAGAAGCCGACCCCCACGCTAAGCGGAAACTCGGCCCCAGAGCAACTGTGACATTCGCTCATCGGTCGCATGGGTCACTCGCAGCGTCTCAATGGGTCACGTCAACACTACTCAACTCGTAGGTTTTCGCAGCCAGTGTTATAATTCTAGCTTTTACCCTTTCTGGCAATAAAGTAGGAGGTGTTAAGATGCTCAAACACCAAATAGATACCGTTTTCAAGACATCAAGTCAGCATTAACCACACATAATTGTGGCAAAACATGCAAACAAACATGCTCTGATAATATATGCATTGTCCTTGAAACTGATTGGCCTAATCCAGAGACAGCCTTTTTTATGGCCATGTCTCACCAGTGGTAGACCAGAGAATATCAAAAGGTGGAACAGTACAAAGACAATGCAACTATGATTAAGCAGTTATTAAAAGGTCCCATAGATAGTATTATAATTCGTAGTTGCATTTTAGGTTAGGCCACATAATGATCTTGCCATATCTATGTAATTAGAACCCCTCCACAACTCATTGCAGCCAAACAAATGAATTGTTGTATGGTGTACAAGCGTTAAACGTGCCAATTACTAATGTTTCAGCTCACCGGTAAGTTGTAGAACAATTCTCACAACCAAACTTAGCATATATATACGTGCCATTTCGCTTAAGTCAGTGTCACGCATGATCAGGAATATCTAGGAAGTCATGATACAGATTTGGGCACATCCTTACGCGTCCAACCCCCAAAAATCAATTACGAACGATCACTACTTGGTGATGCGATCTCTCACGATGGCTCATTAAATCTTGAGTTCACTTAGGTCCCATGACACACACGCGCTGCAGGTGACCCAGACCACCGTGACGACCTCGTCTGCTGTGCTGCTCGCAGACGCAGTGCCGCGAGATGAGGAAACGCAAGGAGCTGGAGCTACAGATGATGACGGAGCCGATCCGCGGCTGGGAGGGCGAGGACATGAAGGCGCTGGGCAGCATCGTGTACATGAGCCAGGCCGTGGTGCAGGCGACTGGCAGCGAGGTGGGCATTGCCGCCGTCATGGCAGGAAGTTGTGCACTCGCGAGAGTGACCCGTGTTTCGGCAGCAGGGTGTGGAGCGGAGGGGGCCACAATTGAAGCGATAAACGCTGAGCATCGCACGAAATCAAGAAATTTGCTTTGCGTGAAATTGTCTCGCGCACATGTGCTCGGTGAATTGTGAAATCATGGTAAAATCGCAAGAGGTGGCGGCGGGATGAGAGGCCTTTCTTCCAGAAATGGACTAATCACAGCTGATGATTGCGATGATGCATACACAAAGCCACAATGATGGTCATCGAGCTGCTTACACGGTGTTTAGGCTAACCGTGTGCAGCATGTGTGCCGTTTACAACTATACATGCTTATCTTATATATAAAAGTCTCCGCACGCTCGCGCTTGCGGGGGATTTGGCTCTCGGTGGGGTTTAAGACTGAAATAATTTTCCAGGCGGCACGCCCTAAGCCCCGTGGTGGGTTTAGGCTATTCCGTTTTCCCGTCCGTAAACTTTCAAGTAGTTTAATTAACACATTTGTGCCGTTTCTATTATTCATTATTTACTTATTGCGCGACATCGACCGTACCAAGTGACGCCAATTGCGTGGGGGGGGGGGGCGGACCCTGCCAAGTCATGCGCGTTCGCTCCAGCTCACGGGAGACATTTTATTTTACGTGTTTAACATGGAATAGATATACACATCACGCTGCCGATTTATCTTCACAGTGTGATGTCCTCTTCCCCCCCCCCCCCCCCCCCAATGCGTGCAGTTACTCATATAAAGTCCTTAGATATAAATTTTATATTATTAAAGTGGTTACATAGTATTATTATGGCGACGGCGGGGGGATGGTGGCGGGGGGCGGGGGTAGCGGCCCAGCTCGCAGCCTGGCAATGTCTCACCTCCGGCTTGCCAATCTAGGCGAGGCCGCGGGCTCTGCACAGGACGAGGCGTCACCACGCCAATGTAAAGTACACTTTTATTCAATCTTTCGCTAAAAACTCAGGTTTATTGTTTACTATTATTAAACAAATACGTTTACAAACATTACAATGATAATGTTTGTGTGCACATAACAACTCTGCTTCATTGTTTACTATTATTCAACTCATAAGTTGCCTAATACTCTATTACTGTTATAATGTTCGTGTGCAGAAACTAGATGCGTGTGCCTAAAGTCGATGTCTGTGTGTGTGAGTCCATGTGTTTGTGTGCGTGTAAGTCGATGGGTTTCTATGTGTGTGGGTCCATGTGTGTGTCTGTCTTTTTCAAATGGACAACGCCCCGTGTGTGTGTACGTACAAGTGTTTGTGTGTGTGTGTCAGTCCATTTGTGTGCGTATCTGTCGCTGTGTGTGTGTTAGTCCACATGTGTGTGTTAGTTCATACGTCTGTGTTTCACTCGATGTGTGTACGTCAATGCGTGTGTGTGAGTCGATGTGTGTGCATGGCTCCATCTGAGTGTGTAAGTCAATGTGCGTTTGTGTGTCTATGTGTGTCGATGTGTGTTTGTTAATCCATGTGTGTGTATCTAAAGTAGATGTCTGTGTGTCACAGTCCATATGTCTATGTGTGTGTAGGGCAATGTGTGTCAGTCTATGTATGTGTGTGTAAGTCCATGTGTTTGTGTGTGTGAGTCGATGTCTGTGTGTGTCAGTCCATGGCTGTCTGTGATAGTCGCTTTGTGTGCATGGCTCCATGTCAGTCAGTGTAAGTCCATTTCTTTGCGTGTCTGTAGCTTCATGTGTGCATGTGAGTGAGTGAATGTATGCGCTTTATTGACCTGCTCAAGGCCTATGATACCATCAGTAGGCCTGGCCTCTGGGTTGTTCTTCATGCTTTCGGAGTCCCTCAAACTTTGCTCATGATCCTTAAGGACCTTCATGATGGTGAGCGGCCCCGCGTAAAACTACATGGCCGTCAGTCAGAGCCATTCCCTCTACACCTTAGGGTGTAACAGGGATGTCCTCTGGCTCCACATTATTTAACATCTTTTGACCACGTAGTTCGTGAAGCCTTCAATGGCTGTTCCCGAGGAATTACCATATGGTACAGATACAATGGGAGGCTGATCGATGCCCGGGTGTGGTCAAGGGATGCCTCCCTATTGCTCAACCATGTTATGTATGCCGATGCTCTGGTGATTGCTGCTCACTGCGGTTGAACCTGGAGCTTGCCACTAAGAGGTGGAGCCTTACTATCAGCCCCACCAAAACTAAGCACCTGCCTGGGTATTTTGTACCATCGAACAATCCACCCCCACAACTCACAATTGGTGATGCGGTAGTTGTGGAGAGATTGCCGAGATTCCCATACCTGGCCAATGTGCTCATGACCGGCTCCGGTTTAACAGCAGAGGTCTCACTCCAAATCAGTCGAGCGCCATTATCTTTTCATCGGCTGTGTTACGCTGTGTGGAAGCTACCTGGTCTTTCGCTCCATGAAGCTCCAGGTCTTCTCGAGCACGGTAATTCCCTCCCTTCTCTACGCTTGCGAAACGTGCACCCCCCTAATGGAACATCTTCACCGGTTAGAAACATTTAGGTTGGCCTGCTAACGATCGTTTCCTGGATTTAACCATATATATGTGTGTGTGCGTCTAAGTTGATGTGTTTCTATGTGTGTGGGTCAATGTCTGTGTGTAAGTCCATGTGTGTATCTTCCTTTTTTGCCCGAGCAACGCCGGGTACTTACCGCTAGTTTTATCTAAAAAACAGAGAGAGTTATGAACCACAAAATGTCTCACTGCTATCTCTGTTTGCAATATGTTCATCCCAGTGATACCTGGCCTGCACATTCTAAATGATGCAATACTCCAACAGTAACTCTGCTCTTCTGTCCCAAAACCATCAAAATGTGACTGCCCCTTCAGTAAAACTTTGAACAGGCACACTCTCGCTCAGACAGCCGCTTCACTTGGAACGATCTTCCACCCACCCACCCACACGCGCTGGAAGTCTCACTTTGTTGAACTCTCTAGTGTAGCCTCACTGCGCACTACATCTGCAGCCGCTACAGCTCGAGCACACTCAGTAAGAACCCGCGGTGTGCACCATTTCACTCCGTGTACTTGTTTGTGTGTTTGCCCGAGTGCGACGTCCATTGTATAAACACGCACTGCACATGTAAACGATGTAATGTGAGTACACGCATCATCACGTGTTTGCTATTTAAGTGTCACTCAACACCCTGGAGATAAACGCCAGAAAATGTTGACGCTAATTGTGCGCTGGGATGCTGCTGAGCAGGACCGGACGGAGCGCTTCCTGCTGCTCTTCCCGAGTGTGCTGGTGCTGCTGTCGGCGAGTCCACGCATGAGCGGCTTCATCTTCCAGGTAACCTCCACGTCCCGCTCCCCCCCCCTCCTCTCCCTCATACCCCTCCTCCCTTATTCCCTACCTGCACCCCTTCTCCATGTCACCTCCCCTCCCAATTCCTCCTCCTTCCTCCTCTGCCTCTACCCTCTACTTCTCACCTCCCCTCTGCTTCCCCCATGATTTCCATGTTTTCTATTCTCCTTCGTGTAACCTTTGATCCGTCCTGCTCCTTCCCTCATCCTTTCCGCCGCCTGGCCTTGTCAATACCACCACCTAAAGTCTTGAGGTCTGATGCTCTTCACCCACGCGGGTGAGGGTTATCGTTGCCACGTGTCGTGAGTCAGATTCCGCGCTCTTGGTTTGCAGGGAAAGTTCCCGCTCAGTGGCATGTCCTTCACCAAGATGGAGGACGGGGATGTCTACCGCAACGCATTTGAAATTAACGGTAAACTGCTCGACACCTGTCAATAACATAGAGAGAATCATACGAGCATCGTCTCCCATACGGGAACTGTTAGGCACGGAACGATGCATTGATTAATGAATTAACACCAATTCTCATGCGTTTTAAGATATATACGTTTTCGCAGTTGCTTATTATTCATGTGTGGTTTTCCGGGTTGGGCTGCGTGTTCAGTATTCTTCCCTCAAGCGTTTGCCACGCACTACTGCGGCAGATGTGTCTTCCCAACTCGATGATAAATATGGCCACACATTCAGGTCCTTTTAACACGTGGCCTGGATAAAGTTGAGGGCTTTTGTACATGCAGTGCTGTACGCACACACACACCTCTGCGCTGTTAAATCAAAATATCACGCTTGAAATAACGCAAGCGGTTCATCATGCACAGTCGCACGTGCGCTGCCGACGCGGTTGTGTGCGAGTCGCTGCCGTGCACGCCGCCCACAGGGAACACGATGGACCGCATGCTGGTCTGGTGCCAGGGCCCACAAGAGGTGCAGGCCTGGCTCGAGCACCTCCACCGGCAGAGCCGCACCACTCCGCATGGCGGCGCCAGCATCCTCAAGTCCACACAGTCGCACTCGGTGCGGTACCATGGCCACACATGCCTGGGGGAAACCCACCCTGTCTGTCTAAGACAAAGCTATTAGTATTATTAATATGTTTCATATTATGCCACTTGTTGAGTCAGACTTGGTTTTCGCAGTAGCGTGCGACGGTCGAATATCTGTTTTTTACTGAACTGAAGTAGTTTGCAAGTAATTTTTAAATATGGCAACCTTGCACCGTGATGCAGGCACGATAACATACCCTTCTTTGAATGGCATCACAGTATCTTTAATGACCGCTGTGAAGCAAAACGGCACCATTATTTTATGGTTGTTGCATGGCGGCAAAGGCGCTACTGCTGAGCCGTTTGCTCACGGTTTCACAACAAAAAGACACGAAAAAATTTGGTTCTGCACTTAAATGTGGCAAAATTCCAGCTCTGAGGTTTAAAAAATAGTTTTTACTATCATGCGACAAACGTTACTCTCGGTAGCTACATCATCCAAAAAGTCACTCTAATAATTCCACGTATATAGCGCTTTTCATCAAGGATCTCAAAGCGTTGTACTGGACACAGTACCACAGCAGCAGCAGACACTCGGCACTTGAAGAGACCACTTAAAGGTGGTTCATTGCTTTTTACTGTCGTGTGACAAACGGCCTCGTACAAGAGTGTGTGTGACATGATGCCGGTTGCACTATTGGCACTGAATTATAATGGTTTATATGGAGAGACAAAAAAATATATAAGAATCTGTCGAAAGCTAATGTGTCCTTTCAGCTCCCGGCGCCCGTCTTAGCCAGCGCGACAGGGAAGCACGCTGACGGGGCTTCCAAGCCGCTGCCGGTGAACCCGGGCTACCGCACGCTACCACTTGCGGGCAGCCACGGGAGTCACGGCGCACACCACGTCCACCTGCAGACCTGGGGGCTCCTGGAGCCGCCCAAGACGGCCAAGCCCTGGAGCCTGAGCTGCCTTCGCCCGGCACCGCCGCTCCGCCCGTCCGCCGCGCTCATTTACAAGGAGGTGGGGCGGCACGGCGGTAGCACACGCGCTTCGCGGCAAAAAAAGTGTCCGAGTTCGATTCCTGACTTGGTCGTTTTTCTATGTGGAGTTTGTATGTCCTTCCCTTGATCTGCGTGGGCTTCCTCCGGGTTCACCAATTTCCTTCCACATGAAGGTAACTGGTATTGGTCAAACATCCCAGTGCTGAAAATTGTCTTGGAAATTAATCAATTGGGATCACACACAGCAGTGACATCGCCCCCGACTGTGAAAACTTGGCAGGACCCTCCAGGAAAAGAGTCAAGAGACTCAGTGAGGCTTTCCTGGGTAAATAGTGTAAATCAATCAATTATATTCTAACAAATCGGAACCTCAACAGGGTCAGATTGTGAGAAAAATCTATGGTAAACGTTTCCCTAGAATTGTTTATTTTAAAACAAACTTGCTGACATTATGAAAAAATATCTGTTATTTAAGTAATGTATACTGCATCTGGAGACGCAGTTTGCATTAGATGTTCCGTAAGTTTAAATTGTAAGATGTAAAAATTGTTTTTTTACCCTTTTATCTGGCAACAAAACTGACACCTTTTTTACAAGGAGTCATGTTTGCATTGACCACAATACCTGCAGTCGGAATGCAAACAAAAAACATAACTCTGATAATGTATGCACTGTCCTTGAAATTGATTGGTCCACACCCGAGACAGCTTTCCTTAGAGCCTAGTCTCACATGGTGTTAGACCAGATGACGCCAAAAGGCGCACAACTCAAAGCACACACACACACCGTGCAAAACAATGCCGTCATACAATCCTGTACCTTTGTCAAACACCTGCAGGAGCTGAGCAGGAGCCCGAAAACCATGAAGAAGCTGCTGCCATCTCGCAAGACACGGAAACCGTCAGACGAGGACTTTGTGAGGAAGAGTACGCAAGTCCCACACGCTCCACTCTCACTCCACCCTCGCTCCTACCCTCGCTCCACCCTTGCTCTCGCTCCCAAGTTCAGTCTTACTCTACCCTAACCCTAAGGGCCTGCGTTAGATTCCCGGCAAGGTATGTTCTCCCCCTCTTCTGCATGGGTGCCGTCCATGTTCTCAGGTTTCCTCCCATAGCTAAAGAAACGCACAATGTAACTGGTATTGGCCAAATACCCTGATGCTAAAATATTTACATGTAAATTACTCAACTGCGGTTTTTGAGATACGTTAAAAACGGATTCACATGACCCCTCCACCCATTGGCTGTCGCTACATTCCGTACAATATTGGAGAAATAAGTATATTGTATCGAATCGAGACGTGAAATATCAACAATTCTTGAAATTACCAGGGAGGTGAATTGATGCAGATCTGTCTACAAAGCAAGACAGACTACATTCACAAATGTTACTGCTTTACTGTAGTAACATCCGCAATGCGGGGCTTTGTGAAAATTTCGTCAGAAGGCACATTGCTTTTGCAGGGCATGTGTTGATGGGCCACGGAGACCATTTTGCAAGATAAGAGAGATGAATCTGTGGTGTAAACGAAGGGAATTTGAGGTGGGAGTGTTTGTTGGATAACTGTGCAGACCAGAGAGAGCTTGGACCCTAGGCAGCTTGAAGAGAGAGGCTGTTGGCGTTTTGAGCTGCTGTGTCCGAGACGGATTCTGGTAATGCAGAAGTCTGGAAGAGAAGAAGGTGGCTGGTAAGTGTTGTAGCTTTGACGAGGAGAAAGAAACTGCTGCGCTGGGTGGCACCTGTTGCTGTGCAGGATTGGAGGGGTCTCCACAAGTCCGGAGATCGAGGGGAAGCCCAAGAAGCAGTCGGTGGGATACTGTGACGGTAGATCTTGGAGGTCGCGTGTCGACTGTGCAGCAGCTACGGGATCTGACAGAGTGGTAGAAAGCCTTGGCAATGAGGTGCGGTGGCATCAGTGGCTTTGGCCAGTGGCAACATCTTGTGCTTGATCTTTATAAATCCACTGCTCAAGTGGTAATGCTGTGTGTTCTGTGTGCAGGTTCCGCAGCTGCACTTGAGGAAGATACGCAGATTCTGAAGGTGATCGAGGCGTACTGTACCAGCGGCAAGACCCGGCAGACACTCAACTCCAGTGGGTCCCAAGCCACAACATGCACAGCGCACACACATAGCTCACACACAGCGCACACACATAGCTCGCACACAGCGCATGCACACAGTGCACACACACAGCTCACACACACAGTTCACACACACAGCGAACACACATAGCCCACACACAGCGAACACACACAGCGTACACACAGCGCACACACACAGCCCACACACAGCGCACGCACACAGCACCCGCACACAGCACCCGCACACAGCGCACGCACACAGTGCACGCACACAGTTCACACACCCAGCAAACACACACAGCGCACACACACACAGCTCACACACACAGCGAACACACATAGCCCACACACAGCGCACGCACACAGTTCACACACACAGTTCACACACACAGTTCACACACACAGTGCACGCACACAGCGAACACACACAGCGAACACACATAGCCCACACACAGCACACATGACACACAGGGCATTGCTCATATCGCACACACAAGGCTCATACACAGCACGGCTCCTGTTCACGCATCAAGATCTCTCATTGGGCCATTCAGTCTGCTTTTGAATCTGTCGTGCCACTTTGAGATTCTTAAATGAGTGTGGTTGTTAAACTCCCCCATGGTGTTTGCCAACGTACCGACCTCAGGGACCTCTCCTTTCAGCTTCGCATATCAGCTATGATCTCCCAGATTCTCAGTCATGTCGTTAATCGGTACATTCAAAATGATGTGGGATTTATGTAATTGTCTTTTTTGCTCGGCTGTGTCCCATGCTGTAGAACAAAGATGAGTCAGAGTTTCCATGTTCACACCTCCGATTAGCATGGTTGGCTACGTACGGTGCGAAAGAAGTTCAGCATACATACGTACAATGTGGCTTGGTGTACGTGATGGCCGCGCGTCGGTTACCTGAGGACTGGGGTCGATGTTCTGGGGCTCGGCGTTTGTCTTGACAGCTTAGAGGTCGGTGCGTCAGTGAAGGAGGCTCAGCGGGTGCCTGTGGACTAACGTGTCTCTTTTGTCTCTGTCCTGTCTGTGGTCATTTTCTTGATCTTTTTTTTTGTCTTCCCTGCATTTTGTTTCATTTTACTTTGAGCACGAACCCCAATACGTTTAGCCACACCTGCCCTTCCCTGTCGCGCATTTTTTCGTGGCCGCTCTGTCTTAATCTGTCTCGTTTCGCATGAACATTGCACGTGTGGTGCATCACGTTGTATTAATTTTGTGTTTTTCAATCAGCCTCCTTCACGTCCCCGTCACCGCCCCGCGTGACATCCCACCGACCCCTTTGTCTCCTGTCAATCCCCTCTCGCTCCCACTCTTGACCTTCCTGTGTTTGCTTGTCTTGCATTCCACGTGTCTCTCAACGTATGAACCCCTCGCACTCCCTTCCCCATGTGTTTCTTGACTCGCTGCCGCGGACCTCCCGTCCCGGGTAACCGCGGCTCCTCCCGGCAGCCTGGCAGGCGACTGACCTGATGCACAACCACGTTCTGTCTGACTGTGAGCTGGCAGGGCCAGAGGGGATGGCCAGGCACGCCAGCCTGTCTCGCTGGGACTCTGCTGACCTCCGTATTGCCTCTGCTTAGCTTCATGCACACACACACACGTGCACACACACACACGTGCACACACACACGTGCACACACACACACGTGCACACACACACGTGCACACACACGTGCACACACCCACACGTGCACACACACACACGTGCACACACACACACGTGCACACACACACACACACGTGCACACACACACACACGTGCACACACACACGCACACACACACACACGTGCACACACACATGCACGCACACACACACGTGCACACACACGTACACACACACACGTGGACACACACGTGGACACACACACGTGCACACACACACGTGCACACACACACGTGCACACACACACGTGCACACACACACGTGCACACACCCACGTGCACACACCCGTTCACATATGTAAATGATGAGAAAACCCATCACAACAGACACATCAATGCAGGCTGGCAACAAAGAGATTTAATAACACACAAGAGATGTGCTTTCATGTCCAAAAACGCTCAGCCTTATCTGAGACCACCTGCTAGAAAGAACCGAGTGTGTGGCCATTTTGTCACTTCTGTGAACAGTGCTGACTGTCCTTCTGAGTCTTATTGAGGATGAAACCAGTCTACAGTTGATAATTGTTTTTTTACCCTTCTATCTGGCAACAAAACTGACACCTTTTTTCTTCCAAGGAGTCATGTTTGCATAGACCACAATACCTGCAGTCATAATGCAAACAAAAAACATAACTCTGATAATGTGCACTGTCCTTGAAGTTGATTGGTCCACACCCGAGACAGCTTTCCTTAGAGCCTAGTCTCACATGGGTTGGACCAGATGACGCCAAAAGGCGCACAACTCAAAGACAATGCATTTACACCATTGGAACCTCATTTGCCAGTAAAAAATATGATAGAAGGGTAAAAAAAACAATTATCATATTTTTTACTGGCAAATGAGGTTCCAATGGTCAGTCTACAGTTCTCTATTCTTCTCACAGCTGCCTCCATTGGGATGGCCATATATTCCTCAACTCTTGAAATTTGTGGTATAAACAACATGGCCACAGGTCAGTTCTTTTGAGATGGTGGTCTGTATAAGGCTGAGAGCCTTTCTCCATGCATGCAGACCTTTGTGTGATGTTAAATACACACATACGTGATCGCACATTCGCATGTTCCATACACCCGGGGCTCATATGCCAATTTAAGGATAACTGAAAATTAAAAGAGCAATTCTCCTGGAAACTTATGCTTTAAGCTATGCTTTGACTTTTAATCGATGCTTTGATGAACGTTAATGTAACTTATACAGTTTCTGTCCTTGAGTGGTTGTTGCTATCTGGCTGTGGTCAGCTCTGCTGGCAAGTCCAGACGCCTTGGTGACTGCCCAGTGCTTTGAGCGAGTGTCTTCTTGCTGCCCTCAGTTTGTAACAAGGACGTGGCCCCCCAAGTGCTGCTCCCTGAAGAAGAGAAGATGATTGTCGAGGAGAGGAAGAGCAATGGGCAGACGGTCACGGAGGAGAAGTGAGTGGCGCTGCTCCACCAAACACTGAGGGCGAAGAGAAGCAGAGGCAGAAACAGTTGGTCCTCACGCTCTCAGTGGGATCCCGAGACTCGGAAATATTCAAATTATCAACTCCTTTCCTGTCAAGACAATGGGATTTCCTGCTCATGTCCTGTTTATAGGCCTTATCTTAATGGCGAAAATTCCACATTCCTCTGGCGTGAGTCTTCCCATAGGATATCCACTGTTGATCTTCCTACAATGCGGTAATCATTTAATTGACTCTTGAGGGACGATCAGCTGAGTCAACCCCCAACCACATGTTACCTTCCAGTCACAGCCCCTGACACAACATGTGTGGGGCCTCACCTGAAGTCCATCGCCTCTTAGAGAGGAGCCTGCTTTTAATCACGTGTGTTCCCTGTCACCTGCAGGAGCCTGGTCGACACTGTGTATGCCCTGAAGGACCAAATACAAGAGCTGAGACAGGTACCACTTCGTGCACCACACGGTGACGCGACCCAGCGCTTTTTCGCCTTCACCACTCGTTGCAGACTTTCACAGTTCAAATCCAGCAGCTGCCCTGATTCATACCGTCGGTGTATCAACCATAAAAATGTGCGCCGCCTGCTTCTTTGTGATCTACATTAAAGATACTGTGATGTCATTCGAAATAGTAGGCTGTTGTGTGCTGACTTCATGGTCCAAATTTGCTAAATGAAGAAATATGCCCACAAATTCCAATTGGGAATATAAATAGCAATCAGCAGCCACTCTTGAAAAGAAAATCGGTAAAAAGTCAATGAGACTCAGTGCGGCTTTCTTGGGTAAACAATCATAGTTAAAATCATAATACAAATCCCAAACTTTAACCGGTTAATCTGGCTCCAAACTTGATCTCAACTCGGGCTTAACCCCATTGTCTATTTTGGCCACATTCACCGTGGTTATTGAGATGTGCATTTAATCCACACGGATTTTCCTCTGGCTGCTGCCCCTCTCCCAGGAGACTCGGCGGTTGAGACATGGCCTGGAAGAAGAGGCCAAGTCCCGGAAGGAGTTGGAAAAGATCCTCAAGCGGTGCCTCAAGGTCCCGAATGACGCGTCGTGGGACGAAACGAACCTTTAGCGGAGTAGACCTGGGACCAGAGACTTGTACATATGCACTTGTGTGCGCCAACTCCACCACGGTCATGTTTACGGAAAGCGGCGGCGTGTTCCCGGGGAGCGCCTCGCCGCTCGTCCTGGAGACGCGCGAGGGGACGTAAGCCATGGGTGGTGTTGTGGCGTCGGGCTCCGTGGTGCCAGACCACCCGAAGTCGAGCTACCCTCCGCCAGGGAGGCGTTAGCCGCGATCGCAGGTGAAGACAGGCCCCCCCCTCGTTTACCCCAGGCACTCCCCCACCACCGCCACCCCTGCCCCCCCCCCCCCCGCGTGGATAAGCCACTGCATGGGTCGTTTCATTTGGCGAGTGTTCATGATGGGGTGTCTTGCATGAGAGGAGCTCCCCCCATGGACGCCCAACAGCACTGCACGCTACACCACGGTGCAGCCTGAGAAAACTGCAGAAGCCTTTCACTTTTTTTATTAGCAAGTGTTACATTTAATTTGTTGTCTTTGGTGTCAGGAATTGACGATCATTTCACCAGTGTTGTTACCTCCGATTACATAATGTTACTGCATTTTTGTACTTATTATGTTGGTGTAAGTTATGGCCGATGGGTTGTGCACAGAGCCAGAAGTACGAGTGTGCTTTGCGATGCAAGTATCGTTAAGGAATCGTAAAGATTGCCAATTAGTGTTCAGGAAATATATCCAAAGGGCCTCAAGCCACTCGGAGAGTACCGTGTGGTGTGTGTCTCGGATAATTGTACCAGACTGACATTTTATCAAGAGGAGGAGTGTTTTAAGATGTCGTTTTACAGGATACCTTTGGACGGGGCGGTGGTTGTGTGTGAGAAGCAAGAGCATGGATAACGTCAATTTCAATTGAGATGATTCATTTGTTTGTATTCGGTCACAGGAGTTTGACGTTTGAAGTGTGGTGCTGTCTGACATGGGGGTTTTTAAGGCCGTCTTCTTTGTCAGCATCACATCGGATTCTGCTGCTGTGGCAAATTCACTTGTGTCCCACTGAGGTCGTCACCACAACAAGTCACTGCAGGAGAAACCTATCACTTCCAGCACAATGTTTCTGCGTTTTACAGAGATTACATCACTTTTGCTTTGTCTTGCAAACTCCACAATGCTAAATTCGCGTTACATCGGCATTTGGTGCTGGAAGATCAATTTCGAGCTGAACTTTGTGGCCTAGTGTGCGTTCTTGTGGCTTTCTTGCCACTGTTGTGAAGGTGGCTTGCTACATGACGTGTTCTGAACTCTATGATGGTTGTGGAGGCAGCTCCCACAATCGGTCTGTCGCCACGCACAAGCACATGCTAATACGCAGCCTTCACACTCGTGGCTGCCTGTTGGTAATGAGAGTTTTGCTTCTTGTGGGAGGAAACTGGAGCCCAGAGAAAAAAATCACCGCACACAGGGGGGAGGGGTTGACACTCAAAGCTCTGCACAGATATCAAGAATCCATTGCTGTACTTCCATCTTTTCATCTCCAGGCCATCTCGCGGCCAACGGCAACTCTACGACACCTAAATATTCCCAAGCAGTCTATCTTTCAAGTACTACCCAGGCTGCACTATGGCATTGGACATTCTTTTATTTGGGGGGGATGGAGAGGGGATAAATATCCCCTGGGAATGAAGAATGAAAGTGCAGGCACAGTGATTAAAATAATCTGCGCCAGGGAAATCTTTCCATCAACTTGCACTCTGGTATCATGCTGGATGCTGCAGGGCTGCTTGCCATTTGATCACTTTCCTGGTGGCACACTCCACTGAATACTCGTGTGAGCCTAGTACGAGCTGCCTGGACATTGGTGCTGGTGTTTTTCTTTAGGCAGTCAGACATTTGTGTTGGTTTTGCCTTGGCATAGAACTGTGATGAAGCAATGGTTTGTGCAAAGAGTACGCAACCTTGGATAGTCGTGTGACCCCGAATCTGATTCTAAGTTGTAACGGCAATCAGATTCCGGCAACTTATTTTTCTACAATGGTATGGCAATCATTGCCGGTAACGTTTCCCCGGCAATAATCGCTTTAAAATCGCCCCTGATTCATCATGACTTTCACGATGCAAGGTGACCAACACGTCAGCCAGTGGAGCATTCACCTGGCTTGATTCACAAAATTCGTTCCGAGTAGCACCTTCCAGGCAATTCGGTTGCCTTGCTTTGCTTTTTTGGAGACATTCTGGTGTGGGATTAGAGATGTCCTTGCAGGGATGTTGAGAGGCGCTGGGGCTGGTTGCATCAAACACCCTGGGTAAGCCCCCCCCTCCACCCTCATTGTGCTGCTTTACATGAGAAGTGGGAACTTCCAGTTGTGTGTTTAATGCGACTGGGCCACTGCCCCAACCACTTTGCCGTGCCACTGAGGCCCCCAGGTTGTGGTGGGGTGACATGGGTGCTTTGCGGTGATGAGGGCCGAAGCTGTGGTTTTAAAACAATCGCGCGAAAGTGATGAAAATGCACAGACTTTGTGCATTACGCTAAAAGAAACATCAGTTCTTGAAGAACTGCGCTGTGGTACTCTTGTCTTAGGGGCCGTACATAAATAACGTCATGCACGGGGGGGGGGGGGGTGAGACATTTGTGACGATGTGTGACGAGGGAGGGGGGGGTTAAGAACTGTGGCGTCACATCAAAATGCGCAACTTTAAATAAATATAGACAACACGTTCTACTTAATTAAATAGACTTTTTAATAAATGTTTTCTCCTACAACATCAGAGTGCAGCGCCACATTAAATACGCACTACAATGACAATAGTTTGAAGCGATTTGAAGCATGTTTTATATATTTTGGGGGGGGGGGGGGGGGGCAGAGCTTTGTGACGTCATATTTGAGGGGGGGGTCTGACTTTTTGTGACGAAGGGGGGGGGGGGGGTCAAAAATCGTCCAAAATCGCGTGATGTCATTTATGGACGGCCCGTTAGGCCACCATCGAAATAAATTCGAGTAAATGTGACCAGCTGAGAGCAGCAGTGATGCACTGATGGGGGACACCTGGGGACCCGCACCGTCGTTACTCTCCCGTGATGGGATTGTCTCATCGTTTACAGATTTGATGGTGTCCGCTTGTTGATTCACCTCGTCATTGTCATCGCGACTCAGAAGCTGTCACGACAAGTCGCCCTTCCAGAATTTGTATATTCCTCTGGGTCTTGTGTTTTTAACGCTTTGCTTGCATGTATAAAGGCACCCGTTGGTGTATTTTTGTATGTTTTATGAAGCAAGGTCAGAGTTTGAACAAAGTCTGAAATGCAGTTAAACATGTACGCCGTGCGGAGACCGTTCGGAATCGTCACTTTAACAGCGAGGGAACCCGTCGCGTTGTAAATAGGCCCCGCATCCGCTGAGCATCTCGTGTTTTTTATGTACATGTCCAAGTTTGTAATGAATTTTATCAGTATCAATGTTTTAATGTATCTCCCTACTGCCGATGCTTAATCTCAATGCTATAAATTAAAGTCGAACGAGGTGAGTCGTCGGATTCCCGTTGTTTTTTTTCTTCATGGGATTCGGGCGGCACTGCCTTGATCCCCGTCTTTTTGCTTTGGACGCGGGGAACGAAGTGGAATGAGGAGCGCCAGGCGCGCGGGACGAACACAAACTGCGAGCGAGGGGCGAGGGGGCGAGGGGGGAAAACGACAAAGATCGTGGTCAGCGGAGTGTCGATGAGAGGAATGATGGCTGGGTTAGGGGTGAGTGAGGGGGGTGGGGGCTAGGGGTGAGTGAGGGGGTGGGGGCTAGGGGTGAGTGAGGGGGGTGGGGGCTAGGGGTGAGTGAGGGGGGTGGGGGCTAGGGGTGAGTGAGGGGGTGGGGGTTAGGGGTGAGTGAGGGGGGTGGGGGCTAAGGGTGAGTGAGGGGGTGGGGGGCTAGGGGTGAGTGAGGGGGGTGGGGGCTAGGGGTGAGTGAGGGGGTAGGGGCTAGGGGTGAGTGAGGGGGGTGGGGGCTAGGGTTAGGGGTGAGTGAGGGGGTGGGGGCCAGGGTAGGGGAGTGAGGGGTGGAAGGTGAGGAAGGGTGGGGGCTAGGGTTAGGGGTGAGTGAGGGGTGGGGGCTAGGGTTAGGGGTGAGTGAGGGGGGTGGGGGCTAGGGGTGAGTGAGGGGGATGGGGGCTAGGGTTAGGGGTGAGTGAGGGGGGTGGGGGCTAGGGGTGAGTGAGGGGGTGGGGGCTAGGGGTGAGTGAGGGGGGTGGGGGCTAGGGTTAGGGGTGAGTGAGGGGGGTGGGGGCTAGGGGTGAGCGAGGGGGGTGGGGGCTAGGGTTATGGGTGAGTGAGGGGGGTGGGGGCTAGGGTTAGGGGTGAGTGAGAGGGTGGGGGCTAGGGTTAGGGGTGAGTGAGGGGGTGGGGGCCAGGGTTAGGGGTGAGTGAGAAGGGTGGGGGCTAGGGTTAGGGGTGAGTGAGGGGTGGGGGCTAGGGTTAGGGGTGAGTGAGGGGGGTGGGGGCTAGGGGTGAGTGAGGGGATGGGGGCTAGGGTTAGGGGTGAGTGAGGGGGGTGGGGGCTAGGGGTGAGTGAGGGGGGGTGGGGGCTAGGGCTAGGGGTGAGTGAGAGGGGTGGGGGCTAGGGGTGAGTGAGGGGGATGGGGGCTAGGGTTAGGGGTGAGTGAGGGGGGTGGGGGTTAGGGGTGAGTGAGGGGGGTGGGGGCTAAGGGTGAGTGAGGGGGATGGGGGCTAGGGGTGAGTGAGGGGTGGGGGCTAGGGTTAGGGGTGAGTGAGGGGGGTGGGGCTAGGGGTGAGTGAGGGGGATGGGGGCTAGGGTTAGGGGTGAGTGAGGGGGGCTAGGGTTAGGGGTGAGTGAGGGGGGTGGGGGCTAGGGGTGAGTGAGGGGGATGGGGGCTAGGGTTAGGGGTGAGTGAGGGGGTGGGGGCTAGGGGTGAGTGAGGGGGGATGGGGGCTAGGGTTAGGGGTGAGTGAGTGGGGTGGGGGCTCGGGGTGAGTGAGGGGGGTGGGGGCTAGGGGTGAGCGAGGGGGGTGGGGGCTAGGGTTAGGGGTGAGTGAGGGGGGTGGGGGTTAGGGGTGAGTGAGGGGGGTGGGGGCTCGGGTGAGGAGGGGGTGGGGGCTAGGGCTAGGGGTGAGTGAGGGGGGTGGGGGCTAGGGGTGAGTGACGGGGATGGGGGCTAGGGTTAGGGGTGAGTGAGGGGGGTGGGGGCTAGGGGTGAGTGAGGGGATGGGGGCTAGGGTTAGGGGTGAGTGAGTGGGGTGGGGGCTCGGGGTGAGTGAGGGGGGTGGGGGCTAGGGGTGAGCGAGGGGGGTGGGGGCTAGGGTTATGGGTGAGTGAGGGGGGGTGGGGGCTAGGGTTAGGGGGTGAGTGAGAGGGTGGGGGCTAGGGTTAGGGGTGAGTGAGGGGGTGGGGGCCAGGGTTAGGGGTGAGTGAGAAGGGTGGGGGCTAGGGTAGGGGTGAGTGAGGGGTGGGGGCTAGGGTTAGGGGTGAGTGAGGGGGGTGGGGGGCTAGGGGTGAGTGAGGGGGATGGGGGCTAGGGTTAGGGGTGAGTGAGGGGGGTGGGGGCTAGGGGTGAGTGAGGGGGGTGGGGGCTAGGGCTAGGGGTGAGTGAGAGGGGTGGGGGCTAGGGGTGAGTGAGGGGGATGGGGGCTAGGGTTAGGGGTGAGTGAGGGGGGTGGGGGGGTTAGGGGTGAGTGAGGGGGGTGGGGGCTAAGGGTGAGTGAGGGGGATGGGGGCTAGGGGTGAGGAGGGTGGGGGCTAGGGTTAGGGAGTGAGGGGGTGGGGGCTAGGGGTGAGTGAGGGGGATGGGGGCTAGGGTAGGGGTGAGTGAGGGGGGCTAGGGTTAGGGGTGAGTGAGGGGGGTGGGGGCTAGGGGGTGAGTGAGGGGGATGGGGGCTAGGGTTAGGGGTGAGTGAGGGGGTGGGGGCTAGGGGTGAGTGAGGGGGTGGGGGCTAGGGTTAGGGGTGAGTGAGTGGGGTGGGGGCTCGGGGGTGAGTGAGGGGGGTGGGGGCTAGGGTGAGCGAGGGGGGTGGGGGCTAGGGTTAGGGGTGAGTGAGGGGGGTGGGGGTTAGGGGTGAGTGAGGGGGTGGGGGCTCGGGGTGAGTGAGGGGGGTGGGGCTAGGGCTAGGGGTGAGTGAGGGGGGTGGGGGCTAGGGGTGAGTGAGGGGATGGGGGCTAGGGTTAGGGGTGAGTGAGGGGGGTGGGGGCTAGGGGTGAGTGAGGGGGATGGGGGCTAGGGTTAGGGTGTGAGTGAGTGGTGGTGGGGGGTCGGGGTGAGTGAGGGGGGTGGGGGCTAGGGGTGAGCGAGGGGGGTGGGGGCTAGGGTTAGGGTGAGTGAGGGGGGTGGGGGTTAGGGGTGAGTGAGGGGGGTGGGGGCTCGGGGTGAGTGAGGGGGGTGGGGGCTAGGGCTAGGGGTGAGTGAGGGGGGTGGGGCTAGGGGTGAGTGACGGGGATGGGGGCTAGGGTTAGGGGTGAGTGAGGGGGGTGGGGGCTAGGGGTGAGTGAGGGGGGTGGGGGCTAGGGGTGAGTGACGGGGATGGGGGCTAGGGTTAGGGGTGAGTGAGGAGGGTGGGGGCTCGGGGTGAGTGAGGGGGGTGGGGGCTAGGGCTAGGGGTGAGTGAGGGGGGGTGGGGGCTCGGGGTGAGTGACGGGGGTGGGGGCTAGGGTTAGGGGTGAGTGAGGGGGGTGGGGGCTAGGGGTGAGTGAGGGGGGTGGGGGCTAGGGGTGTGCGAGGGGGGTGGGGGCTAGGGTTAGGGGTGAGCGAGGGGGGTGGGGGCTAGGGGTGAGCGAGGGGGGTGGGGGCTAGGGGTGAGCGAGGGGGGTGGGGGCTAGGGGTGAGTGAGGGGGGTGGGGGCTAGGGGTGAGCGAGGGGGGTGGGGGCTAGGGCTAGGGGTGAGCGAGGGGGGTGGGGGCTAGGGGTGAGCGAGGGGGGTGGGGGCTAGGGGTGAGCGAGGGGGGTGGGGGCTAGGGGTGAGTGAGGGGGGTGGGGGCTAGGGGTGAGCGAGGGGGGTGGGGGCTAGGGTTAGGGGTGAGCGAGGGGGGTGGGGGCTAGGGCTAGGGGTGAGTGAGGGGGGTGGGGGCTAGGGGTGAGCGAGGGGGTGGGGGTAGGGGTGAGCGAGGGGGGTGGGGGCTAGGGTTAGGGGTGAGCGAGGGGGGTGGGGTTAGGGGTGAGCGAGGGGGGTGGGGGCTAGGGGTGAGCGAGGGGGTGGGGGCTAGGGTTAGGGGTGAGCGAGGGGGGTGGGGGCTAGGGCTAGGGTGTGAGCGAGGGGGGTGGGGGCTAGGGGTGAGCGAGGGGGGTGGGGGCTAGGGGGTGAGCGAGGGGGGTGGGGGCTAGGGTTAGGGTGAGCGAGGGGGGTGGGGGCTAGGGGTGAGCGAGGGGGGTGGGGGCTAGGGGTGAGTGAGGGGGATGGGGGCTAGGGGAGGGTGAGGGGGGTGGGGGCTAGGGTTAGGGGTGAGTGAGGGGGGTGGGGGCTAGGGTAGGGGTGAGTGAGGGGGTGGGGGCTAGGGTTAGGGGTGAGTGAGGGGGGTGGGGGCTAGGGTTAGGGGGTGAGTGAGGGGGGTGGGGGCTAGGGTTAGGGGGTGAGGGGGGTGGGGGTTCGGGGTGAGTGAGGGGGTGGGGGCTAGGGGTGAGGGGGGTGGGGGCTAGGGGTGAGTGAGGGGGGTGGTATTAGTGGATGGTGTATAGTCAGCTCAGGTTAAAGCAATGGGTTTGTCTGCTCCCAAGTTGTTTACCTCTACACATCTCAATGTGTCTGTGGCTGAGTAGTAGAGGGAGCAGTACAACACGCACCCTGCTGGCGTGAAAGAGTGCTCAGTCTCTGTTTACACTGCGAACACGTGCGGTGACATTCCTGAGCCAGCGGTGGAAATTCCACATTCGTATGGCGGGGGCGAGGCCACCAGAAAGACAACCCACGTTTGACGTCCCCATGAAGTCGTGCTCTGCCGCTGAGCATCCGAAGAGAGTGTGGATTCATGCGCACGGAGCCTGAGAGCAAATGGAGACCTCCTCCCTGTTGAGCACCAAGTCCCCGTCCATGTTAAACCTCCCTCCCCGCCGCTCTGCTCGCTCGGGTTGGCAGACGCATGACGTCATTGACGGTAAAAATGACGTCACGCGAGGCGCGCGGTGCGACTACTCCCGCGATGACGTCACAACAACGGCGCCTCACAGCGGTGCGCGGCAACGTCCCTCCGCGACGCGATGGCGTCACGTCACGGTCAGGCTGAACTCGGGGCGCGATGACGTCACGGCGCGACGCGATGGCGTCACCCCGCGACGCGATGGCGTCACCTCGCGACGCGATGGCGTCACACCGCGACGCGATAGCGTCACGCCGCGACGGTCCAGCTTAACTGGTGCGTAATGGCGTCACGAACACGGGGCGTGATGACGTCACGCCGCGACGCGATGGCGTCACGAACACGGGGCGTGATGACGTCACGGCGCGACGCGATGGCGTCACGACGGCGTTAAAACAAAATCGTCTTGCGGGAGGCGCCTTCCCAGAGTCCCGCGCGCGCGAACATGGAGGAGCTGGTGGTGGAGGTGCGCGGCTCGAACGGCGCCTTCTACAAGGTATGGCGGCCCTCGTCCCCCACCCCTCGCCTGGCCCTCCTCGCCTGCTCCCCTACCCCCCTAGACCACCCCGGGGCTTCCTCCAAGTGCGGCCTGCGGCTCGTGGCGGCCCACGGGAGATCGGCGCTCGCACTCGCGGGGCGGCCGCGGTTGAGGCGGCCGCGACGCAGAGAGAGTCCGAGGCCTTCAGGTGCGACGGTGGCGGGGGGGGAGCGAGGAGACGCGGGGAGAGACGCGGGGAGAGACGCGGGGAGACACGGGGAGACGCGGGGAGAGACACGGGGAGACGCGGGGAGAGACGCGGGGAGATGGGGTGGGAGAGACGCGGGGATGTGGTAAGAACAGGGGTGACATGGTGACATGAGGGGATTTGGAGACGCGTGGACGTGCAGAGTTTGGGAGGCACAGGGGTCAGAGACATGCAACGGAGACGTGGTGAGGGCCGCTGGGGGACACACGCTGACCACCGGATACGAAGAGAGATGGAGACACGAGTGAAGGGAGACTGGAGTTCCGAGGGAGATAGGGCTAACAATACACACGGAGACGCTCGAGGTGTGGGGACACAAGAGAGGGGGGGGAGACGTGAGGAGAGACATTGACACAAGATTCACGGGAGAGACGGCGAGAACACCGCTGGACAGGAGGCGAGAAACGTGGGAGACACGGGGGGCAGGCACAAGCAGAGACGACACGGCTGGTGGAGGGAGAGTTGACAGTGGAGCCATCGTGGGTTGCGAAACCAGGGAGCCATTGGGACCACAAAGGAATAGAAGCAGGGAAGCTGTAAGTCACACAGGCGTGAGGACAGGCAGGCAGAGACGTAGTTTGACAGATGTGAAGACGAGAAGTAGTGGCCTCATGTCACCACATAGGTTGTGCTGTAGTTTGACAACTAAGTTACAACATTGACCAGCCCCCTTTCCATACATTTGTGTTGTCATAGCTACCATGAACAGAAGTGTGCCCTCCTGGTCTAGAAATTAAGATTGATTTTGATTATTGTGTTAAACAGTGCATGGCTTTAACACTTGTGGGTTTTTATCGAGACCCTTCGCTGATTTTTTTTTTGTCGATTTTGAGAGCGGAATTAATCTGGTGCTCAACTCTTCCGTCAGAGACCGAGTGCCAGACAGGGGGTGGAAAACCACGGGGTGGTTTGGGCTCCTGAGAAGATGCAGTTCTCACGCACACCGTATCTAATGTCCAAATGGTGGCAGCGCACTCCGATAGGGTTTTTTTTGGGGTAGAAAATTTAAAAATTGTCAGGATTCAAACGGTCGTATGACAACACTAACGTACTCCACCACTTACATGGCCAAAGTGAAAACTCCGAAGATCGCAGGTCGCCGAACATGTGCGGCAGCTAAAATAAGTTATCCACGTGGCCGGTGTGAAAAGCTTGCTCACAAATGGAGACACTTGTGCGTTGGTTGATACGGAATGGAGTTTGCAGACTATTTTTGGTGGACACGGTCACACATCGCAGCACCCTACCAATCGGCTATAAATACAGCGAGGACGGAGGAGGGGGGGGCATTCCACGGCGTGTGTGTGTGGGCTTATTCGCCAGCCTCTTGTGGGACCGTCAGCTGTCGCGCCCGTCAACCGATTGAATGGCGACCCGAGGCCCCTTCCTTGGGTCCTTACGGTACCCCTTCGCAAAGAGAGAGAGAGCAGCCCCCTGCGTGGGGAAGAGAAAACGCTCCCGTGACAGAACGATGGCTGTGTGGCCCGTTGAGGCTCTTGCGCACGACGGCTGACGATGATTGGCAGGGAGGGAGGCAGGAGTTTTCCGATATCGCGTCCGGGTGGGCTGCCCGTGCGGGGGACAATGTTTCAGACACCGTAACTGGGCAAGGCAATTTTGGCGGAATCCCTCGAGCGTTCTCCACTTTTTGGGATTTGGCCTCTCTTGGTATTTTTTTTTTTTGCGCGCGTACGAGCCGAGATGGTTCAGGGACGCCTTTCTTCGCGTGGGTCTTAAGTGTCTGTTGGCTGCTTTTTTCCTTGAAAAAAAAGCCAAGTCTGATGAATGGCACCCATTTTGATTTTTTCGTGTGGTTATTGGGACAAACTAAAGAGGGAGAAGATAGTGGCTTTTGTGGAGTTGACTGCTGCCCCCCCCAGTGTGTGTGTGTGTGTGTTCTCTCATGGGGAGCGGTGGTGCAGCGGTTGGCGCGCTGCGCTATGAACCCGGCATCCCGAGTTCGATTCCCGCTCATGGCCAACACCAGTGGCGATTATCTCAACCGGTCTTAGGCCTCCCCTAGGTCGACTCAGCCTCTGATAAGTACCTGGTGCTCTGTGTAAACATCGCCACTAGGGAGACAAAGGCGGTCTGGCATGGTGTTGGCCACCCACCCCCTCGTGTGCGGTGCTGGCCTTCATAGGTGCTCGCTAACAGCACTTGCCCCAACAGTCTGCTCAGGCTATACAGGGGATCTGTGTCTCACGGTCATCCACCCTGTCATCTCTCCACTCTTGTCATCTCTCTCCGTACCTGCAAGGCAAGCTGTTTACACGCTTATTGTGTAAATTGTCTTGTAATGTTGTCGTAGCTTTTTTGTATAAGAATTTTCTTTCGTGTACATATAAAGTAGCTCCTTGCAATGTCGAAGTTGGGTTATTTTCGCTTCACTATTATTGTAGTGACATTCTTCTAGCCACTCAACCGTTTAAACAATCAACGATGACCGTTTTTATGCCAGGAATTGCCAGCTAAGTTCAACCAGAATCGTGATGGATGTTTTGACCAGAGATCACTCGCGCTGTGAATAATGCAGTTTGTAATATCTTTGTTGGGTCATTATCTCACCATGAACAGTATAATTACATTTTGTTTGTTTGTTGTCTTTCCCCCACACCTCCAATTAGCACGGTTTGCTACGTACAGTACGAAAGAAGTTCAACATGCATTGTTTGTATTATTGTTATGCTTGTTTACCCAGGAAAGTTTCATGGTGTCTCAAGACTTTTTTTCATGACATTGCTTTGCCAAACATCCCAATGCAGGACTCTCCTTAAAAAGTGGCGTGAGACTTGGTGAAGCTTTCTTAGATGAATAAATTACATGTTCAGGAATGTTTTTTTTTTGCAAATGTAAGGAAGGATTACCTGGAGAAAACCTCATTCATATGACGGAAATGATACTCAAAAGGCCCACACAAATGAATCCCAAGGTCCCATTTTTTTGTCCTGTCAGCTTCTCGTCACCCGACAGCCCAAACCCGTTTATGGAACTTCACAAATCTGCGGGCTTCACCAGCCCCTTGTTTCCAAAGTGCGGGATCACAGGCGTATGCCACCTGGCACAACTCTTTACGTGACACGTGTTTGGGTTCGTAGGGTTCACAAATGGCAACAGGGTTTCATGTGGAAGAACGGGTGTTTAGCTGCTTTGAATTTGGATCGTGTGTGAAATGCTAAATTTTTATATTGAGGTTCATGAACCACAACAGCTTCAGGTGTGGTTGTGAGGCGACACTTGATTCTTCTTGTGAAGTGTCACTCAGGGCATGAGTTAGTTATGTGTCCCATTCTCTGGTTACCGTCTCCGCAGCCACATTGTGGGGACTATCTTTGGTCTTCAGTATGCAGCAATAATTTCTCTGAAAATGTTGCATGTCTGAACATTTCAATGGCCATGAGTTTCATGACATGGGCCAAAGATGAGCGATGCTGTATCTCGTGTTTATTCATTTGTGAGATCTGACTTGCTTGGAACTGCTGTAAATCATTATGACGGAATGGTTCATCGCAGTCCAGTAACGTGTAAAATAAAGCTTGTAGGTTTGACTTGAATCATCTGTCTGTCAGTCACACAACCATCATCCTTGCCTTGTTCTCTTTTGCTCTACCAGGCTTTTGTGAAGGACATTCTGGAGGACTCTCTATTAGTGGCATTTGAAAACAAGTGAGTTCTTACACATTGGTTAAATGCTGCCACAAAACATGTTTAGAAAAATTACCCGTACACATGGGCTATGTGATGCTTTCCAACCCGCGCTTGTCATCAGAACTATGTAATTAACGGTACGGAAACTGAAAGACAGATGTCAGGGCCAAACTCGTATGCGGTTTTGCAAAGTATTTTTTTGCTCTGGCTAAGTTCTCAATTTTCGGCAGTACTTTGATCAATGAGGCCAGTGTTCAATCGTGCGAGTCCCTAACAGCAACACAATCTTTTCAAGGGTTGCAGTGCCACTCCCACCCCCATTATGGACGGATGGACAGAGCCACCTGAGTTGAAAAGCATTAAAAAGCACGATTACTTCACACGTGTGCATGACTGTCGGTGATGCCTGTGCTTTAATTGATTAGCAATGTCTTGTGACAGCTGGCAGCCTGAGCGTCAGATCCCATTCCACGACATCCGACTGCCTCCTCCGGATGACTTCAACAAGGAGATTGGCGAGGGTGACGAGGTGGAGGTGAGCTCCACAACACACGGCTGTGCTCCCCTCCGAGCAAACTCCCATCGGACCTATGATGACCTGAATCGCGGTCTACGGTGCAATCTGGTTAAATAATACAATGCCAATGTGAGTTTTAACATACGCATAGCAGGTGAGCTTAAGATGTAACGGCTGGTAATTTCGTTTTAACAAATTGTAGTTTATTTTAGTGATAATATTTACTCGGTAAAAACATTGCTTGGTCTCAAGACTACAGGCTGTTTCAAAAAGATGGATCCAATTTCAAAGCAGTATATTTCACGATGACAACATGTTACAATTACACAAAGTTACAAACGGTTTAATGAGTTATCAAGTTTTACTAACCATTTTATAAATGCTCTATGTGCCCTCCACCTGCTGTACGGACAACATCGAGACGATAGTTGAATTCTTCCCAAACGCCTCGAAGTATCTTCTTTCACTGAAGTCACCGCTGCCGTGATTCTGTTTTTCAAGTCATCCAGATTAGTCGCTAATGGTGGCACAAAAACATGGTCTTTGACGTATCCCCACAAGAAAAAGTCGCAGGCTGTGATGTCTGGGGATATTGGGGGCCAAGAGTGTAGCGCCAAGTCTTGGGGTCCCGTGCGACCTATCCAACGTTGAGGCAGTGTGTCTTGCGAATGACTGAGGCTAGGGACTGTTTGTGCACTGGGAGAGGCATCTAGCGGTAATCATTTGAAACTCTATGCCCCGCCCTTTCAAGTGGTAAGAGTTTCATCCATGGGCGGTTAGTGGTTGCAGAGATATAGCGATTTCAAATCAGGTCCATCTCTTTGAAACACCCTGTATTTCAGTCGGTTCCTGCATTGGAAAGTTTGACCCAGTTGCACGTTCAATCTGGATCGAGACGTCATCACGGCCAAAGCCGTTGATGCCACCACTGCACCTCATCACCAACGCTTTCTACCCTCCACCAGATCCCACAGCTACTGCACAGTAACCATACAACGACCTCCAAGATGTAGCTTCAAGAGTATTCCATCATCTGCTCTTGGGTCTTTCCCCTGGTCTCTCGACTAGTGAAGACCCATTCCAGTGCTTGTCTTGGCAATCGACCCTCGCCCATATAATTGTTGAGTGCGTTTTGTGTGGGACAAAGCAGAGTACCCCAAAAAAACCTACACACGTGGGCAAAATACTTGTGGCCCACACAGACATGCTTACAAACCCACTTCGTGTACTGTCTTCTCGTTGCCATCTCTGCATGATTCACCAACCCTTTCCTTTCAAAGCACTCGATTCCAGAGTACACCGATGCATCCAGATGAAGCTGTTAACCCTTTATATCATTTAACCATACATTGTGTGTTTTCGCACTGTTACACGGTGGTGTTTGTTCATACGGTTATATGGTGGTGTGTGTTCACTTTGTTACGCGGTGGTGTGTGTGCGCGTGTGTTCACACGGTTATACGGTGGTGTGTGTGGGCAGGTGTTCTCTCGGGCCAATGACAATGAGCCGTGCGGCTGGTGGTTGGCGCGGGTCCGCATGATGAAGGGAGAGGTGAGCTTGCCCACTCGCACCTGTTTTCAATGAAACGTCTAAGCACGTTGACGTGGCCGTGCCAGGCTGTCGGTGTAATGCTCTGCGATTGGCTACTTTGTCGTGGTTTTGCGAAGGTCAGATCGTCTCGTTCCGTACTGATCAGACCAATCCCGCATTCTGCTCCTGTGATAGAACTGTGAACAGGGCTGGAGCCCTGACCCTGATGAGATCCTGGGTGTGAATCGGTGTTATCAAGTGATGGTCACAGCCCGATCACCAGTGACCATAAGAATTTGTTAATATTAAATTTGCGTTTTTCACTTAATTTATAAAAAAAATTCTTGCTGAGAAATAAAAACAATGATTGGTCTACCTGCCTTGGGATGAGCACCTCTGTGTAGCAGGACAATGCTGCCAAATATTTGTCCCTTAGCCATGGATGAGAGGTCCAATGTAAGGACATCGGAAGTAGTTTTGTGATATACCCTTTCACGGCCGTCATCGAATATGGGGGAGACACAGTCGTCTTTGAGAATTCCGATGGAAAGCGTCACATGACGGGCGAGAGCACAATGGGAATAAACTTGCGGATAAAAGAGAATGAGTTGGTGAAGTGCTTTGCTGCTGCTGCTGCTGCTGCGTGGTTGTAAATGCTCTCTTTTTTTCAGTTCTATGTGATCGAGTACGCGGCGTGTGATGCAACGTACAACGAGATCGTGACGATAGAGCGTCTACGACCCACCAACCCCAACAAGGCGATTGGAAAGAACGCGTTCCACAAATTTTCCATCCCTGTGCCCGAGGACCTCAAGCCACAGTGAGTTCCGCATTGACGGATGTGGGGATACGCGTGGGTTGTGAAAAGGCTCCTGGATGCATCTTTGGACAACTACGCGCGGGGCTGAGAGACGGAATCAGAATCTTTATTTATACTCGAGGAATCCGATGAGCTATGAAGCTCTTTTTCACATGTCCGGTAGGGACGGGTCAGTACGTTAAAACAACAGAAAACGATAAGAGTGCAAAGTAGAGAGAAAACAAGAAAGTCAAAGTAAATAAAGTATAAAAGTACGTAAATTCCTGCCGATTTTTGAACACTAAATGCAAGTTTGGGCAAGGCACCAAATCAACATCAAAAACAGTCCCAGAACCTACCACGACAACCTCTGATGAGCACGGTTGTCTACATACTGTGCGAAAGAAGTTCAACAAGCGCGCAACACATGGTCCCTCAATAAAATTGCATATTAAAATGGAACTGTCCAGCACTAATCTTCTGCTTCAGGATATTTTTAGAAGGAAGATTTACGATGTTAAGGGAGGAAAACGAGTGATGCATAAAACGCCGCGATAGGGGAGAGGTCAGGGAACTGCAGCGCTAATTCCCGGCCGTTTGTGTTCCCCCTCCAGCTGTGCGAGTGATGCTGTTCACAGGGACTTTAAGAAGGCAATTGGTGCCACATCCATACAGTTTGATGCCGAGAACAGTCGGTTGGTAGTGGTGGTAAGTGAGCACCGGGCTGGAGCATGTTTTTAAGTGCATGTACATTCAATCCATTCCCCTGTCGAGGCCAGTGTGTTTTGTACACAACTGAACGTTTATAGATTTGAAGTTTTCGTGACTGCAAGGATCCATACTCTTTGGTTTTTTTCGGTAAAGTCACGTAGGTTAAAAAGAAAAAAATAAATTAAATCATGACGTTTCGGAGGCAAAATTACTGCCTCCGAAACGTCGTGATTTAATTCATTTGTTATCTTTTTTAACCTACGTGACTTTACCGAAAAAAACAAAGAGTAACTGAAAGTTTGTCATCGTTTCTTATTTACTCTTCGCTTTGCCTTGGGAGTCTTTGTCGAGTGCCGTGTTATATAGCGCGCGTGCCTGCGTTTTACGGCGGTGTTTCTGTTCGTCCCGTTTCCTCCCCCAAGTCTACGAGCGACACGACCGTAAAGCGTGCCGGACTGCTGAGCGACATGCACTTCCGGAGCATCCGTACCAAGCTGCTGCTCCGCACGCGCAACGAGGAAGCCACCAAGCAGCTAGAGGTGGGTCCCCCTGGCTGTGCTGCTGCAATGTTGCCGTGTGGTGCGTGGTTTTAACGGCCGGGGTTGAAGGAAGTTTCTCCGTGCATTTAATTGACTTTGTTCCCTTTATTGAAGGCCAGATTTAAGCACCTGTTGGTGATTCCAGCCAGGTGGCTCGGCAGTAGAGTGAGCAGCCCACAATCAGAACGTTGCGAGTTAAATGTTTGGGTAGGGTGTTGGCATCATCTCTCTGGGGTATATTTAAAATTAGTTGCTTCTTCTTTTGAAGAAGTCAACAATTGTTGTCCTGGTTATGTCCTTTCCCACCATACCATAGGATTGCAGAATTTCCACCACTGGCTCAGGGCTGTAAAAGGAGATGGACACCACCTCCGTGTTCATATGAACAGGAAAACACTTGGACTTGCTTTAACATTTTCCCCCGCACTGTGATCGTGAATGTGGCCCAGCCCCTCCGGTTACCGTGTGTGCGGGGCCGTGGCTTGCGTGCACTCCCCTGAATTCCAGCATCTTCCGTCCTGTTGGCAAGGAGGGTAGTGGCGGGCGGTGCGTGCGTGTTTCAGGAGGCTCGTAGTTGAGCCGATCGCACGTTTGTGTGCAGAACACCAAGCAGCTGCAGTCAGGTTTCCATGAGGAGTTCAGTGTGCGTCCGGAGCTCATGGGGCTGGCGATCGGCACGCACGGCGCGAACATCCAGCAGGCGCGCAAGGTGCCCGGCGTGACCGCCATCGAGCTGGACGAGGACACCAGCACCTTCCGCATCTATGGGGAGGTGCGCCGGAAAACTCGCCCGCACGCACGCGCGTATACACATACACGTACGCACGCAGGCATGCACGTGCATAGAAAGCACCATCACACGTACGCAAGCAGGGCAGGCATGCGTGGCGACCTGAAGTCTTGGCTTCGGTGGCAGACTCACTCTTTTCACAGCACTCTATCTTACATTGCCAATTGTAAACATTCACGCGATGATTTCTTGCACGAACGTCTCCATTGCCAAAATTGCGGCGCGCTAAATTGCAGTGCTCCGGTTGCAACGTCTCACACCAGCTGGCTTTTCTGGTAGTCGGGAGTCTTCGTCAGCGTGTCGCTCACCTCCCCGCGTGTGGCCTGGCTTCTCGAGGCAGACTGCCGAGGCTGTGAAGGCTGCTCGCAGTTTCCTGGAGTTCATGGAGAAGCCCATGCAAGTCCCGCGCGACCTCGTCGGTACGGATACACGCGCGCGGTGCATTCCCTGTTTTTGCCGGGGCTGTACATTGTGTTTGCCTCACCCGGCTGTGGGACCTTGTGCCAGAATCGTCGGCATGTGGAGCAGCTGTTAGCTGTACGTAGCGAGTCGATGACTCTATTTCGCAATTTGGTGTCATGATCTAATTCAACCACCGATTATTTTTCGCTCATCACCTCGTTTGTAAGGTTTTTATTCTCCACGTTTCCCAGTTTTACCTCAATTTAACTCTCGGAATATTTCGAGGAATAATCGATGTTTATGAATAATTATTGATTTTTACACGAACGAGTCGATGCACATAAACTCATTTATCTTTCACTACTTTTGTGCGTTTCATTTGTTGTCCTTCCCCCCCGCACCTCCGATTAGCGCGGTTGACTACGTACAGTGCGAAAGAAGTTCGACATTCATAGACATAGAATACGAAGCATAAGAATTCATTGTAATTGGTGCATTGTTACCTGCCTACCTAATAGACTGTCCTGTGTTTTAGATTTATTAAGTTTGCATATCCAAGAGCGGTTTTCACTTCTGATGATGGTGTGTCAGCAGTGCGTTGTCGGTGCCATTGAACCACCTGATCCTGGGAAGCCATGCTCATTGCGGAGGAGCCGTGCGATTTTACGTAGGGCTGTGCAGCCCCTGTTTGGGTGTGCTTCTGCGAGAGTGTATTTGTAACCGCGCCGTGTCATACCAGTTGGCTGTGCGTGCATTTTCAAGTGCACGCACACTCTGTCACTGAGGGGTGAATGGCGGCTGTTCTTGTTTGCTGGTCCGCGCGTGTGCAGGGAAGGTGATCGGGAAGAGTGGGAAGGTGATCCAGGAGATCGTGGACAAGTCTGGGGTGGTACGCGTACGCATCGAAGGAGACAATGACAAAAAGCTGCCGCGTGAAGAGGTGACGCCTCGTCTTAGACGTGACCGTGTCTCACTCTTATCTCCCTCGCCACCAGTCGCCACCATCGCTATTCTCGCCACCCTCGCCATCTCATCATCGCCACATATCGCCACTGCCATCGCCCTCGCCACCATCACCACCATAACCACCATCACTATCCTCACCACCCTCTGCCATTATCCTGCTTGGGCACATTTAAAAAATGCATGACAGTAGTCCCTCGCTTAACCAGTGACATCAGTTAACGGTTTTTCGGTTAACGTTTCTCCTCCCATAGGACCCGATGTTTTCGACTAAAGTAAAAATTTCGATTTAAAGCTTTCGTGACTGCAGGGATTCATCTTCTTGTTTCTTTCGGTAAAGTCACGTAGAAGGGAAGTAATAAAATAATAAAAATAAAACATAATAAAACAATTCTCACGACGTTTCGGCTACAACGCAAGCAGCCGTCTTCAGGTGAAGAATGAGACACTACCAAACTAGGAGCTTATATATAAGCTGCATTGGGGGTTGAAGAGCGCCTTAACAAAAAGAATGTGCATGTGAAGAGGGATTTAGCATATTCATGGAAAATGCGTAGGCGTTGGGCGGGGGGGTGTCAAAGTCATATTATGCCCATGCATTATGCAGGATCAGCAGCAACCAAGGGGGGTGCAGGGATTAGCAGTAACAAAGGAAAGGAATGTTAATGATATGTAGCTGCAGTTACTCAACAACACGTAGAAAACTAAAGTATAAACTACATAAAAAACTAAAGTATAAACTGCATCGCACCATCAGTATACTTACTATACTCTATAATAAGCTGAGTTACTAACAGCAAGTAATACATTACAATTTTACCTCGTAAAAATTCTATAATATGCTTCCATCTAAACCTTATTCTCTTACATCACACGAGCATATACCGTACTATATACTGCCATAGATAAACCCAACATTAAATTATATACTGTATTGCTGTAAACCAACCTATATCTTATACATTTAATATCACACTATGTATTATTCTACACACCCTAATGTGTATCGAAATGGTTTATTACGTCCTTCCAATGATTGCTGAGCCAGAATCCATCTTCTCGGTTAAAGTTGTCTCTGTGTTTGTATATGTGGATCGCCTCATGAACGAATCTCTCATGATAGCCAGATGGCTTGCAGAGAACCTCTGTCTTGGAAAAGTCAATATCATGTGAGCCCACTGAGTTGTAACAGTGATCTGCCACGGCTGAGGTGTTAGTCCTACCGTGTTTCAGGTCAGCTTTATGTTCACGGATGCGGTCCGAGACATGTCGTTTGGTTTCCCCAATGTAACTGCTACCACAGAGGCAACTTAGTTTGTAGACGCCAGGGTACTGTATGTCTGGAACCACATCTTTTACAGACGGTACCAGATCACGGATTTTATGTACTGTGTTGAATCGGACCTGGATCTTGTGTTTAATCAGGATTTTGGAGATCTTTTTTGTGACCCCAGCAATGTAGGGTAAGGTGATGGTCTTGAAAGGCTCCTCAACAGGATCCTTCTTGATGTTTGGAGTGATGGCTTTGCGGATTGTATAGTCGGAGTAACCATTTGCCTTAAGAGCTTGGCGTACGTGTTTGAGTTCACTGGAAATGTGTTCATGGTCGGAGATGCATTGGGCTCTATGATATAGAGTCTTGATGAGGGAATTCTTCTGAGATGGATGGTGGTGGGAATCCGGTTTTAGATAAGCATCCGTGTGGGTGGCTTTCCTGTAGACAGAGTGGCTCATTGAACCATCAGGTCTCCTTTTGATTAGGACATCCAAAAAGGGTAGCTTGCCATCATTTTCGACTTCCATGGTGAATCTGATGGCTGGGTGTATGGAATTGATGTGGTCGAGAAATTGGTCTAGAGCAGGCCGGCCATGTGGCCAGATGACAAAAGTGTCGTCTACGTACCTCTTCCATAAGGTCGGGCGTAGAGTGGCAGTCTGGATGGCGTCCGTCTCAAATTTCTCCATGAAGATGTTGGCTACAACCGGAGATAGGGGGGAGCCCATTGGGGTGCCCTCAATTTGCTTGTAGAAGGTTCCATTCCAGGTGAAGTATGTATTGGTTAAGCAGTGTCTCACCAGGGGGGGTACCCCAGCATTCAGTCCTTGATGAACCAAGTCTTCAATGATTGCGATGGTGTCAGGCACAGGTACCTTGGTGAACAAGGAAACCACATCAAAACTGACAAGCAGGTCGTCTGGGGACAGGGCAATCCCCTTGATTGTCGATACCAGGTCAGTAGAGTTTAGTACTGCAGAGGTGGTTTTTCCAGTGAAAGGCCGTAGGATTTCGGACAAAAAACGAGCCAGTTTGTAAGTGGGGGAGTTGATAGTAGAGACAATGGGACGAAGAGGTGTATCTTCTTTATGTATCTTTGGCAAGCCGTACAATCTTGGTGGTCTGGCTGCAGAAGGTTTCAACGAGAACTGTTTGGTCTGATCAATTAATGCGGTTGAAGCAGCAATGATGTTGTTGGTTTTGGAGACGAGGCTGTTGGTGGGGTCTCTTTTTATTTTTGTATAGCTGCCATCGTTTAGTAGTTCTTGAATTTTGTTGTTGTATTCTATTTTGTCCATGATGACAGTGGCATTGCCTTTGTCGGCTGAGAGGATGACAATGTCATCCCTCTTTTTTAATTGAGCTAATTCAAAACGCTCCTCTTTGCTGATGTTGCTAGCTGGCATCTTAGCGTTTTTGAGGGTTACAGAGATTTCGGATCTTGCTACGCCTGCAGCGATGTGACTCAAGCCCTTGAGAGCTACATCTACTCGAGCAATTATATCATTAACTGGTATGTGTCTAGGTGTGACTGCAAAGTTTAGTCCTTTAGCTAAAACGGATTTCAAACCTTCAGAAATAGGACTGTTACTGCGATTAATTACGACTTTGTTAATATCTAGCTTTTCAATGTGTGGGTCCGGTTTCTTGTTTGAGAGGCGATTGAATTTGGAAATCAAGTTGTCCTTACATTTAGTCGACATAGCGGCAGCTGAAGAGGCAGTCATTTTTTCCACATGTTCCCAATCCGATGTGGACATTGTTACACTCAAAGATAAGTGTGATTTGTAGAGTGTCTTGTCTAACTGATCTAGTTCGGTGCGCGTAAGTCTGATTTTCTCTGAGATAAGAGCTAAGCTAGTTCTAGACAGAATTCGTTTCGCATTAGAAGAAGTTACAGCAGCAGATGTTAGTGTAAATGCGTTTGGTATTACCTTAGAGTCGCGGCATCTCTTCAGAAAGGTGAGAGACTCGATTAGCTGAGCCTTCTTATCCCGGAGCTTGTTGAAGGATCTCAAAGTTATGTGGAAACCCTCCCCGTAGAGGCGGTTAAATTTCGATTTAAAGCTTTCGTGACTGCAGGGATTCATCTTCTTGTTTCTTTCGGTAAAGTCACGTAGAAGGGAAGTAATAAAATAATAAAAATAAAACATAATAAAACAATTCTCACGACGTTTCGGCTACAACGCAAGCAGCCGTCTTCAGGTGAAGAATGAGACACTACCAAACTAGGAGCTTATATATAAGCTGCATTGGGGGTTGAAGAGCGCCTTAACAAAAAGAATGTGCATGTGAAGAGGGATTTAGCATATTCATGGAAAATGCGTAGGCGTTGGGCGGGGGGGTGTCAAAGTCATATTATGCCCATGCATTATGCAGGATCAGCAGCAACCAAGGGGGGTGCAGGGATTAGCAGTAACAAAGGAAAGGAATGTTAATGATATGTAGCTGCAGTTACTCAACAACACGTAGAAAACTAAAGTATAAACTACATAAAAAACTAAAGTATAAACTGCATCGCACCATCAGTATACTTACTATACTCTATAATAAGCTGAGTTACTAACAGCAAGTAATACATTACAATTTTACCTCGTAAAAATTCTATAATATGCTTCCATCTAAACCTTATTCTCTTACATCACACGAGCATATACCGTACTATATACTGCCATAGATAAACCCAACATTAAATTATATACTGTATTGCTGTAAACCAACCTATATCTTATACATTTAATATCACACTATGTATTATTCTACACACCCTAATGTGTATCGAAATGGTTTATTACGTCCTTCCAATGATTGCTGAGCCAGAATCCATCTTCTCGGTTAAAGTTGTCTCTGTGTTTGTATATGTGGATCGCCTCATGAACGAATCTCTCATGATAGCCAGATGGCTTGCAGAGAACCTCTGTCTTGGAAAAGTCAATATCATGTGAGCCCACTGAGTTGTAACAGTGATCTGCCACGGCTGAGGTGTTAGTCCTACCGTGTTTCAGGTCAGCTTTATGTTCACGGATGCGGTCCGAGACATGTCGTTTGGTTTCCCCAATGTAACTGCTACCACAGAGGCAACTTAGTTTGTAGACGCCAGGGTACTGTATGTCTGGAACCACATCTTTTACAGACGGTACCAGATCACGGATTTTATGTACTGTGTTGAATCGGACCTGGATCTTGTGTTTAATCAGGATTTTGGAGATCTTTTTTGTGACCCCAGCAATGTAGGGTAAGGTGATGGTCTTGAAAGGCTCCTCAACAGGATCCTTCTTGATGTTTGGAGTGATGGCTTTGCGGATTGTATAGTCGGAGTAACCATTTGCCTTAAGAGCTTGGCGTACGTGTTTGAGTTCACTGGAAATGTGTTCATGGTCGGAGATGCATTGGGCTCTATGATATAGAGTCTTGATGAGGGAATTCTTCTGAGATGGATGGTGGTGGGAATCCGGTTTTAGATAAGCATCCGTGTGGGTGGCTTTCCTGTAGACAGAGTGGCTCATTGAACCATCAGGTCTCCTTTTGATTAGGACATCCAAAAAGGGTAGCTTGCCATCATTTTCGACTTCCATGGTGAATCTGATGGCTGGGTGTATGGAATTGATGTGGTCGAGAAATTGGTCTAGAGCAGGCCGGCCATGTGGCCAGATGACAAAAGTGTCGTCTACGTACCTCTTCCATAAGGTCGGGCGTAGAGTGGCAGTCTGGATGGCGTCCGTCTCAAATTTCTCCATGAAGATGTTGGCTACAACCGGAGATAGGGGGGAGCCCATTGGGGTGCCCTCAATTTGCTTGTAGAAGGTTCCATTCCAGGTGAAGTATGTATTGGTTAAGCAGTGTCTCACCAGGGGGGGTACCCCAGCATTCAGTCCTTGATGAACCAAGTCTTCAATGATTGTGATGGTGTCAGGCACAGGTACCAATCTCCGGTTGTAGCCAACATCTTCATGGAGAAATTTGAGACGGACGCCATCCAGACTGCCACTCTACGCCCGACCTTATGGAAGAGGTACGTAGACGACACTTTTGTCATCTGGCCACATGGCCGGCCTGCTCTAGACCAATTTCTCGACCACATCAATTCCATACACCCAGCCATCAGATTCACCATGGAAGTCGAAAATGATGGCAAGCTACCCTTTTTGGATGTCCTAATCAAAAGGAGACCTGATGGTTCAATGAGCCACTCTGTCTACAGGAAAGCCACCCACACGGATGCTTATCTAAAACCGGATTCCCACCACCATCCATCTCAGAAGAATTCCCTCATCAAGACTCTATATCATAGAGCCCAATGCATCTCCGACCATGAACACATTTCCAGTGAACTCAAACACGTACGCCAAGCTCTTAAGGCAAATGGTTACTCCGACTATACAATCCGCAAAGCCATCACTCCAAACATCAAGAAGGATCCTGTTGAGGAGCCTTTCAAGACCATCACCTTACCCTACATTGCTGGGGTCACAAAAAAGATCTCCAAAATCCTGATTAAACACAAGATCCAGGTCCGATTCAACACAGTACATAAAATCCGTGATCTGGTACCGTCTGTAAAAGATGTGGTTCCAGACATACAGTACCCTGGCGTCTACAAACTAAGTTGCCTCTGTGGTAGCAGTTACATTGGGGAAACCAAACGACATGTCTCGGACCGCATCCGTGAACATAAAGCTGACCTGAAACACGGTAGGACTAACACCTCAGCCGTGGCAGATCACTGTTACAACTCAGTGGGCTCACATGATATTGACTTTTCCAAGACAGAGGTTCTCTGCAAGCCATCTGGCTATCATGAGAGATTCGTTCATGAGGCGATCCACATATACAAACACAGAGACAACTTTAACCGAGAAGATGGATTCTGGCTCAGCAATCATTGGAAGGACGTAATAAACCATTTCGATACACATTAGGGTGTGTAGAATAATACATAGTGTGATATTAAATGTATAAGATATAGGTTGGTTTACAGCAATACAGTATATAATTTAATGTTGGGTTTATCTATGGCAGTATATAGTACGGTATATGCTCGTGTGATGTAAGAGAATAAGGTTTAGATGGAAGCATATTATAGAATTTTTACGAGGTAAAATTGTAATGTATTACTTGCTGTTAGTAACTCAGCTTATTATAGAGTATAGTAAGTATACTGATGGTGCGATGCAGTTTATACTTTAGTTTTTTTATGTAGTTTATACTTTAGTTTTCTACGTGTTGTTGAGTAACTGCAGCTACATATCATTAACATTCCTTTCCTTTGTTACTGCTAATCCCTGCACCCCCCTTGGTTGCTGCTGATCCTGCATAATGCATGGGCATAATATGACTTTGACACCCCCCCGCCCAACGCCTACGCATTTTCCATGAATATGCTAAATCCCTCTTCACATGCACATTCTTTTTGTTAAGGCGCTCTTCAACCCCCAATGCAGCTTATATATAAGCTCCTAGTTTGGTAGTGTCTCATTCTTCACCTGAAGACGGCTGCTTGCGTTGTAGCCGAAACGTCGTGAGAATTGTTTTATTATGTTTTATTTTTATTATTTTATTACTTCCCTTCTACGTGACTTTACCGAAAGAAACAAGAAGATAAAGTAAAAATGTTGACGAATGATATGTTTACTTTATGCATGTGGGGCGCCAATTTTTGGCCAATCGGAGCACTCGTAAGTGGGCTGAGCCACACCTTCAGCCAATCAGCGACGCCCATTTATGAGCGTTTAAACCTCGACTGCCTTTGTTTACATTGTGGCAGTGGAAACAGCTCTCTTGCAGACTCGGTGATTTATACTTATAAATAGTTATTGCAATGGCCCCTAAAGGGAATTCGCAAGAAGGAAAAGAGTAGGAAAGTACCATTGGAACCTCATTTGCCAGTAAAAAATATGATAATTGTTTTCTTTACCCTTCTATCTGACAACAAAACTGACACCTTTTTTACAAGGAGTCATGTTTGCATAGACCACAATACCTGCAGTCATAATGCAAACAAAAAACATAACTCTGATAATGTGCACTGTCCTTGAAGTTGATTGGTCCACACCCGAGACAGCTTTCCTTAGAGCCTAGTCTCACATGGGTTGGACCAGATGATGTGAGACTAGGCTCTAAGGAAAGCTGTCTCGGGTGTGGACCAATCAACATCAAGGACAGTGCACATTATCAGTTATGTTTTTTGTTTGCATTTTGACCGCAGGTATTGTGGTCTATGCAAACATGACTCCTTGTAAAAAAGGTGTCAGTTTTGTTGCCAGATAGAAGGGTAAAAAAACAATTATCAGTAGGAAAGTAATTAGCCTTAAGACAAATCATGAAATTACTGCATGAGTGTTTAAATGTTATAAACTATGTTTTTAGGCTCAAAAAGGTCAACTTCCGATCGTCTTGAAACGTATTAATGCTGTTAACATGTAATTCCTATATTTGATTAACAGTTATTTCGGTTAACAGTAGTTTCTGTGGAACGGATTAAAAACGTTAACCGAGGGACAACTGTGTTTAGATCTAAACGAGGTAGCTGTTTTGATTTAATTGTAACCACAGACGTGTAATCAACTGAGAACTTATGAGCGTTTAATCTACCATGCACACTTTTAAATAAAGAAAGTGGAAATAAGTAAATTATCAATGAATACAACTTTTATCATTTATTTTAATTGCTGTCATTAATGGGCGATGTCTTGAATTTTAAAACAGTTTATTTAATCTTTGTCAGTAACCCAGGGCAATACGCTGCAGCAAAGTCCCAGCAGCCAATTGGCCCAGGGGTTGAGCGTGCGGCTTTGCAATTTGGAGAGGTCACGAGTTTCGAATTTTGGCTGGAATTTAACTCGGCCCATCATTACCTCCGGGGTCGATAAAACGAGTACCGCTTAATGGGGAAGTCAACAGATGTTGTGCTATGGATAGACTCGCCCCCTGCCATAGGAATGGGGAATTTCCACCACTGCATTAGAGCTGCAAGCAGGTGATGAGCACTGCCTCAATGCTCATTTGAGCAGCAAATCGCTGACTCGCTGATATCAAATGAGTGAAGTGACGCGGATGTTGTTTGCCATTGTCCGGGTTTCAAATGTGACCCTCGTGCATCTGTGTGCCTTGCCTTGACATCTCACCTACCAGGGCATGGTTCCCTTCATCTTTGTGGGTACTAAAGAGAACATCAGCAATGCCCAAGTCCTGCTTGAGTACCACCTGGCCTACCTGAAGGTACGTGTGTGTGTCTTATCAGCACAGTCATATTCTCAAAATCACAATGGTAATGACGTTTGTCATTTCTGGAGTTGATCATTGTTTACATTTTATGACGGTCTCAATATTATATATAAAACTAGCTTTACTACCCGGCTCTGCCCGAGACTTGGATTCTTGTCTTGGATGAATACACGGCCTACGCGGAGGGTGGGGGGGGGGGTGCGTGGCGTCAGGCACTGACATCACAGATGTAACGTCACCGTTCACTTGCCGTGCAAAATATATCCATTATTGCGCCCCCCCCCCCCCCCCCCCAAATACAAAAGTCTATTTTTATACTTTTTGCATTGTGTACAGTCTGGAAACTACACACATGCCAAATTTCAAGTTTGTTGCATGTCGGGAAGTATGCTAAACATTTCGAACAGACACAGATAATAACAACTTTGCCCTTTATATATATAGATTACAGCAAGTCTGTGTCCATGTGTGGTCATGCATGTGCACTACTCTGCCCGTGTGCATGCATATGGGCAGCGCATAGCGCGCTCCCCTAAGCACCCAGCGACCCGTGTTCAATTCCCGCTCAGGGCCAGCACCAGTGACGATAATCTTAACCGGTCCTGGGCCTCCCCTAGGTCGACTCGGCCTCAAACGCTGGTGCCATGTGTAAACACCGTCACTGGGGAGACAAAGGCTCCCGGGCGTGGTGTTGGCCACCCACCCCCTCGTGTGCCATGCAGGCCTTCATAGGTGCTGCTACTCACGATCAGCACTTGCCCCAAAAGTCTGTCGAGGCTACACGGGGGGACCTTTGTCTTTTTGCAGGAGGTGGAGGAGCTACGACTCGAGCGCCTCCAGATTGATGAACAGCTGCGGCAGATCCGGCTGGGCCCACGCGCCGGTGGACCCGGTCGCCCCGACCGGGACAAGGGCTACCTGACCGACGACAGCACTGCTGCCGCCTCCCAACAACAGCAGCAGCAGCAGCAACGCAATGCTCGCTCCTATAATGGCCGGGGTCGGGGCGGGCGCCGTGGATACACGTCTGGATACAGTACGTGACCACGAGCTGTGACCACGTCCCACCACCTGTCGTGTTGACAAGGGTTACGGTGGCAGCAGAGTGGCAGCGTGGTGGTAACACCCGTGCCTCGCAGCAAGAAAGGCCCTGAGTTCGACTCCTGACTCTGGCACCATTTTTTGTGTGGAATTTGTTTTTGCCTGTGATCTGCACGGACTTCCTCTGGGCTGCTTGTGCTCCTCCCATAGCTAGAAAAGAACCACACACAACGTAACTGGTATTGACCAAAGCATACGAATGGTAACAAAAATACCTGCAAATTATTCAAATGGGATTACACACAGTGGAAACGTCACCCCCTGCTGCAAAAACTTGGCAGGACTCTCCTGAAAAAGTCTTGAGACCCGATGAGAGTTCCCACGTAAGCAAGTGTAAATGATATGGATAATTACTCAGAAGTGTAACTTTGTGTGCCGTAAGTCAAAAAGTTGCGCGTCACCGTGTTGTGATAAAACCAGTGTTTTGAAAGAAGTAACAGCGGTCGTGCACAAGCGTGCAACGTGCTCCATCATTGGTGAATGGTGAATTGATGACCGCTGCAAAGGAGTCTGTGGAGAGTTTTAAATCTGTACTCCAGACCCACCACCTTCTCTTCACCTTGATTTCTTCATGAGTTTAAATTCGTGTTGGCTAAGCAGAGACATTTTAATACCGATGAGAGTTTCATTCTGGTCTTATTTTTTGTGTGCAGTCACTTGGATACCCTCTTTGAATTATACTTATTCATAATTAACAAAAAGAAAAAAAGAAAAGGTTTTTGATCCTGGTGGCCTCCATAGACGAACATCGCACAGCATCCATGCACAGACATCCATGCACAGACATCCATGCACAGACATCCATGCAGGCACACGTCAGCACTGAGCCTTTGGTGCTGAGCAGCCTAAGTTGAAATCGGAGTGAACACCTTTGGTAAAACTGGGTTCTCAAATGTTCACGGTCACGAATGAATACACAAAACACTTTGATGATTTTTTTTTACTTAGATATATTATTTAGTTTTGAGAACTTAACAATGTTTTGGTGGTGTGTCACATGACGAACACTTCCAGCTGAACAGGAACGAGGAGGAGCGTTTCAAGGGACCTCTGCATTGTTGCTGCTGTTCGTAAAAGCTCCGACTGCGTTGCCTCGCGTGTGACGTGGTGCAGAGAGCATGGCTCTACTACTACAGCTGGGGGCGTAAAAGACAAACGGAAGAAAGCGGCCGTGTGCGAACGTGTGAGAGAGGCCGCGCTAATTCCCGTGTGCTCCGTTGAAGGCACGAACTCTGAGCTGTCGAACGCCTCCGAGACGGAGTCGGAGCGACGGGAGGATCGGCGTGGCCGGGGCGGCGGAGGCGGCTCTGGAGGCGGCGGCGTGGCCGGGGACACCGCCGAGCGCAAGGAGGAGACGCGCAGCCGTCGGGGTGGCAGCAGCGGTGGAGCCAGCGCCGCGCGGGGCCGCGGGGGAACCTCTGCAGCAGCCGGGCCAGTCAAGGGCGGCGGAGGCGGCGGAGGCGGCGGAGGAGGTGGCGGAAGCGGCAGCAGCAAGCCCGGGGCGACCAGCATCAGCTCCGGTGAGGTGGGCGTGTCGCATGGCCGACACAGTTGTAGCCATGAGACAACGCCACGACGCGTCACTCCGGCTCCGAATGGCCACTTTGTCTCCCTGCTGAATTCAAGATTGATCTTAAAATTCGGAATCTACTTATGAAGCCATTTGCTCTGTTAGAAAAAAAAATGCCTGGATTCCTGGCTTGCTTGGCTGGTACCCAAGTGGCAGTGCGCGGTGGTGACGTCACAGCGCACATCTGCGTGATGGCATCACCCGCATCCCACAGTGTTGAGCCGGATTCGTGCTTCGCGCCGATATCAGGCCCCCACCCAACCCTCCGCCATCGTCCACCCCGGAAGTGGATCCCGTACAAATGCGCCACTGCAGGCAGACTAATGCCCCTCGTACCGATGGGGACAGCTGCCGTCGGGGGTGCCCATTTAAATTGTGTTGAGATGTGAAGTGCTCTCGAGTGTGTATAAATAACACCCGCCGCCGCCGCCGCAAGCGAAGCCCCGGGTGGCCACCGCGGCGTCTCTTGCGAGCGCGCCGTTGCCTTTGTCTTTGCAGTGCTGCGCGACCCGGACAGCAACCCCTTCCGGCTGCTCGGGGAGCAGCAGGCGGAGGCGGAGCTCGCAGCCGACACGGACGGCAGCGAGACCCAGCTGAGGCCTCGGCGCCGGCGTTCGCGCCGCCGCCGCGCCGACGAGGAGCCCTCGCTGATGGACACCGTGAGCGAGTCGGACAGCGCGTCCGTCAACGGCGCCGGTAAGTCGGCTCCCTCCGGGGGCAAGTCTGGCGGGACCGCCCGTGGCGCCCGGGTGGCTTCGAGGTCGGAGCTCGGAAAATGCGCTGCGGAGATCGTGGTGTCCCCCCCCCCCTCGTAGCCTGGTTCTCGAGTCGAGCGAGTTGACGGTCTGAGCATGGTCACGAACGACTGCGTAAAAAACCCATCGCGTTACATTTGCTTCTACGCTTAATGTGGTTCATTACAGCTGTGTGGGCCCTGCAGAGAGTGGGACAGTTGTTGAGATTCTCGTGCCGGTGTTTACGTGCGAGCTAACTGCGAGTGAGCGAGGGTCTTGTGGTGCTGGGTGTGCGCGCGAACTCGCTGACTCGACTGTGGCCTATGGCTGTCTCATCAGAAGAGAGTGACGAGCCCAGGCCCCAACGGCGAAACCGGAGTCGGCGCCGGCGCCGGGCCCCGGCCTCCGGCTCGCTCAGCTCTGACCGGCAGATCCCAGGTGTCGTCTCCCAGGAGCCCGGATGTGTTTGCATTGCATGCCTCTAACTCGCCCCTAACCCGTACCATATCTTGCACTCGTGGTCCCACCTTTGCTACTGGACAGGACTGGCCCTGTTCAGGGTGTAGCTCCACCGTGTGCTGTGCGCCACTGCCCTGCGTTGGTTGGAGATTGGAGTCAATGGAAGGGCACGGGGATGGAATTGTTTCACGCTTGACGTGCAGGTTCGTAGTCATCGGTGCGAATGGCCACTGACGCTGCCGGAAATCTCTTCGGAAACCAGAGGAAACCTCTTCGGCTTTAATCCACATCTCGGCGCAACGCCGGTCACAGCGGTGTGACTTGTGCCAAGCAGCTCGGCGTGCGTCGGTGGAAGTGTCGTGCCTACGGCGCACTGGTGTGAAATGCTGCTTCTGTTCTCAGGTTGCTGTATATACTTTAAAACGTGTTACCAAACGAACTGCCTGAATGTACAATGAGGGTGACTGAGCCTCTTTTAGTTGCTTAGAAATTTGAGACGCCTCTGCTAACGCAGCTAAGGTGATCGGATATTGATTGTCTCCCGTGCTCCGCTACGATCCACATGCAGCATAGGAGGAAAGAGGATTAATTTCTCATTTAAAAGTCAAGGAAGTTTATATCCAGTTCGGACAAGCGGTGCTCATCTCCATTGGAGGCACTGAGACCGCAAGTGTTGGAAATTCCACATCCCCACGTGAGGAAGGCAGTCTCTTTCCAGGGCAATCCACTGCTCATTGCATCAACCATGGAAGGATAATACTGGTCAACACACTTTTTCTGGCATAAGGTATTCCAACGGTTTTAATGTAATTTTGGGGTGCTGATTCCAAATCTGACATCAGTTTTTGTCTATCACATCAGGTTTTTGAGATATCAAATATTGCATTTTCTAATAAAAACTGCAGAAGAAAAATATTAAATATATGTGGATATCTACATAAAATGATATTATAAACACACTATCCTAAAAATACAGCACCATATTTTAACACTAAAGCAGTCACTGACTCGCAACAACTTGCAATCATCAGTGACAGAGTTAATTTCGGGTAAAATCAATTAAAATGGGGTATGCCGATAGCATAAAAATGAGATGTGATAGAGCAAATCTGAGATCAGATTTGGAATCGGCACCCTGAAGTTAGTCTAAAACAGCTTCAAAAGTCCAGGCCAGAAAAAAATGTTTCTTTTGTTGACCAGTGTAATGACTTGAGCTGAGCCCCGACCTGGAATTGAACTCGCAAATCTTTATTGTGAGCTTGGCACTCTTGACCACAGCTCCACACCCGGCCAGTTACAGACTCGAACTCCGTGGTTCTTAATCTTTTACTGCAGCCTGCACCCCTTTGGTTCTCAATTGTAAAAAAAAAGATGTAAAAAAATGCACTGTTTGATGAAATAAAGTAGTTGTACTTACGTGCCCATGCTTAATTTGTTTTCGATGATTTACCTTAAAAAAAAATCTGGCCGCGTCTCACACCCCCAGAAAGGGCATTTCGCATCGACAAGGGGTGCGTGCACCCCAGGTTAAGAGCCACTGCTCGAAATGGTCAATGGAAACAATGCCGCTATAATCCTCCTGTCGGCGTTCTGCTTTTACAATCAACATAAGTGCGCAACTGTGCATTGGAATGCCAACGAGTGATGTGGGACCTCTTGGTGGATGGAGCTCACTCACTGGTGTTTGAGATCTATATAGATGTATCAGTATTGTTGACACTGGAGTTTGCATTGGTGATTTTAGAACGTGACTTTGCTGTTCACCATACCTGCGGGTGGGTGTGTTGGTGGGAATGTGTTGCTGTATTCAGTCCACCTACGTGTGAAACTTCCTCTGCCCACTGCGGGTCACTCTTTCCCTCGCAGAAACGAGGCGTCTGTTTTCATTCGGCTCTTGTTCATGATGGCGTTTTATACGTTACCAAAGTGTATCTAACATGTGTTACATGTAAGCATGCACTTATCGAATGATACACACTCATAAAGAGATGTGATTGTTGATTGGGTGTTTCTTTAGCTTTCTGCTAATGTAATGCTCTCTACTAATTCACTCATTTTCAATGAGCTTTGTGTGTCTATTGCAGAGGAATAACCGGCATGTGTTTTTCGTGCAGGCTCTGAGCCCTTAGAAGTCCTGCATGAGCGTGATGGAGTGTGGTGGTGGTATTGGTGGGTTGAATCTATCGTGTGTGCTCACTGTGTTGTTTGCAGTGACGGTGGCCGACTACATTTCTCGAGCCGAGTCCCAGAGCCGGCAGCGACCACCCACCAAGGAGCCTCCACATCCGGTAATCAGACGGATTAATTAGTGGCTATCCTCGCAGCCAGGCGAGCGTAGTCTTGGTAGCAGTACCCCTTAAGTTTACCCAACACCAGTAGGCCCCCTTCAAGAGATGTTGCACCTCGCACCGCAATGCCTCAGGAAGTTGAGGTTTGCCGTTGGACTGGTGGTAAATTTCCGATTCTTGGTTATAATCCCGATTCAAGAATCTTTATCTGTCGATATGTCTCATTCGTGTTGGAATTTTTTTAGGGTTAATTATATCAGTCTACGGCACACAAGCATATAATTTGCATATCGTGTAAAAAATCAATTAGATGTGCAAGTCGGTTCATGTATCATGACGGGCGCAGTTTATTTTCACCGATCGATCCGTTCCACATCTAGAACTGACAGGGCTTTTGGAAGTGAGCAGCCAATCCTGGCTGTGGGTCCCTGCAGAAAATTTCTCACCGCCCAATACTTTTTCCCTTCCAGGCACGGGCAGACGGATCCCTGAGTGGGGACAGCCCCGGAGCTCCTTCGAATGGCGGTGATATCGCCGCCGCCGCCACCACCGCTGTTCCCAGTGCCGCTAAACAGCAACGGCCTCCTAAAAAGGGCGACCCCACAGATGGGAAAACTGAAGTGGGTCCGGCTGAGATGCTGCTAAACGGCTGAAGCGTAACCGGCACCAGGGCTTGCCCCCACCTCCCGCGCCCTCGGTGCGAGCGCGTGTTTGTGAGTCCGTTCATGCGTGCGTTCATCCATGTGCGTTTGTGCACGCGCGTGTGCGAAACGCGGCGCTCCGTAGTTCGCTGCAAATGTTAACGCGCGCCGAGTCCCACAGGGCAAAGCCAAAAGATAAGCGCTTGCGTTGAGAACCTGTGAATAGCGATGAAGTAAAAAATGGAGCCATTTTCAATTTGAGCCCCACACGAGAGACAGGTGGTGGTGTGCCTTGTTACGATAGCGGTACGGGGCTGCTCTGCATCGGCGTCTCGTCTCCGGCGCAGGGAGAGCGGCGGAGAAATTTGACCACAATTGTAAGACGTAAAATCGCAAATGACAAGAATTGTTCGCCCACAGTATGAACACTTTGTTTACTTTTGGACAAGCACTCTGGCTGGGAATTGCTGTGCGCGTGATGCCATCACTCGGGCCGTACACAGAGTTTCTCTTTTCCTGTACGTGTGGTTTGGCGCAAACCCGTAAACCTAATCGTATGTAAGACTACAGACGCGAAACTGTGGAATCTGATCCCATGCTTTCTGGCGTTGCCAAATAAATGCATTTGTTACAACGTTTTCAATTAGTACTTGTTTATTTATTCCAGAGTGCAGTATTTATTATGACTTTCTTTTGCATGTGCTTATTGGGTAATTGTTTTGTCCTTCGTAATTTTTATTGAAGCCAGGTCCACCCATGAACAGTGACGTGGGGCTTGCGTTATCAAGCACTGTTATTCTTGATGATGTGCAATACACTGTATGCAAATAACAAATAAAGCTTGACCTGCCACTCACCCCTCTGCCGTTCAACCTCCAGTTGTGGTTCATAAGAGTTGCAGCCGGCATCAATAAAACATGTCTCGTTGCGAAGAGGGCATGCAACCCGTTTGTGAATGCTGTTTATTGCTGGAGGTGTGTGGCGTTTTTACGTTCAGCCTCCGAGACTTGAATCTTTTAGAGTGCAACCGCCCTCTTTGCCGCGGCGCTTCAGTCACGGAACCCAGCGCTGCTCACTGATGATACGATCTGTGCGTCTGCAGCAGCCACCGTGGGTCTGAAACTATGTTCAAGAACCCACTTGCAGTGTGCAGGAGTCTGACAGCTCAAACTACATCTGTTATTCACAGCCTGAGATATCCAGGCTTGGAAATACGCAGGCTGGGCTACCCAGGCCGTGCCCCCCGTGTCATCTTAACGGATTGTTGGGGCAAGTGCTGTTCGCCATCACCTATTAAGGCCAGCTGGGAAGGGCACCAGCATGCCAGGGCTGTCTTTGTCACCCTAATGCTGATTTCACACTGCACTAGGTGCTGTCAAACTCAGAGGCCCAGATCTCTATTCATCACTGAATTTTGTTGTGAAATTGAACCCTGGTCACTGAGTTTGTAGTGTATTGTGCCAACTACTGTGCCACCACTCACCCCCACCAACCTTGGTGAAAAAGCACCGGAGTGCACCATTATGGAGGACAACTCGCATGGTTCACTCGTTGTTACTGCCCCAAACACCTATAATTCCATTGCTTCAAACATGCATCCTCCATTAGCCTTGCATCGAAAATACAATGTGATGCTGAACTGTGGATTCTTTATAACCTCGCTGGCAATTGCATTTTACTTGTATATCCTTGTCGGTTTACATAATTAGTACAATAAGTCTTACCCGAGATGTTTTCTTGTACTCAGTTGTTATCTGCTGAAGCTGACTTGCACTTACAGGGATTGTATTAACATTGACTCCTCACGTGATGCAGTTTTTATTGCATTTGCTTCATTTGCTGTACTTTATTTTCCTTAGTTTTTGTCGATGTCATTTTTGGTGACCCACGGCACAAGCAAATGACTCATGGTCTCTCGCGCTCTCGCCAGGTTCCACAAAAAAACCTTGAAACTTGAACGACCACCGGTTTGAGCTCGCCGTGCCTCCGTCCTCCAACGTGCATTTTAACACTCACCAAAATCACTCACTCGTACACATAAGACAGGCAATACCAGATGCTTTTTTCACTCACGTAACACAAAGATCCATGTTCCAGACTGACACACGAGTATGCACACACATCCACACATAAAGACGTATTTTATTCAACTCCCATCAGTTTGAGAAACCTGAAATCCAGAAAACCCAAAAAAGGATAGCAAACTGCCACACCCAATACTCTTCATTATCATAGAACCCTAAAGAAACAAGAAGCTAGAGCAATTCCCCCAGAAAAATTCAAAAAATTCTGCGTGGAACCGCCACAAAACCAATGGCGGTGGCGCTTGGCCGTGTCCATGGATGCATGAAAACTGAACAAATTCATCCGTTTTAAACTTTTGCTTTCGGAGGTGTTAAAATACATCTTTGTGAATTGTTATGTCTCAATGGAAAAATGACATGGAAAAATAGGCACGCTTACACGTGAAATCTGTACACAAATATAGCACTGACAGTAATTTTTTCCGTTGACTTTTTTTAAAAGGTTATTTAATTGTATTTGGCAACGTGTGCATGACGAGTGAAAAATCACAACAAAGTGCAATCGGGTTGCCCTCGCCGCCACCAAATCATGACGGCCGAAGGCTCGGATGCCCGCTCCTTCCTCGCAGTAACTCGCCAGCGCTTCACCCGCACGCACAGATCCACCCGCACGCACAGATCCACACGCGCGCGCGCACACAACTCGCGAGTCTAAATGAGAGTGGCGTTAGTTTGCTGACTATGCTGATGACTGAAAGATCGGCGCGCAGAAGACGCCGCCGCAAATAAGTCGGCGCCCAGGGCGTCGGCACTCAGCCCAAAGGTCCCCCCACCGCCCCCCCCAATGGAAGTGGTGGAGACGTTGCCGAGGTCGCGAGCGCCGGGCACGGAGGGCGCCTCGCTCCGCTCCGCTAGAACTTCGCGCAGGAAGTGCTGGAGCGCGGAGATGTAGCCGCGGCACTGCCACGTGTCGTTGTGCGTCCCCTCACGAAACGTGGCCATTCGTTTGAGGGGGGCAGGCGAGAGGTCATGCAGCCGGCTCATCATGACGGGGGGAACCAGCGAGTCGGCGAGTCCCGAGACGAACAGCGTGGGCACGCGGCAGCTCGCGATGTTCTCGTGCGACGGGAACCGGCTGCGGAAACACCAGGACGGCAGCGGGAACGGCCGGCACGACGACGAGGACGACCCGCTGCCGCCGCGTGAGAACACCGGAAAGAGCGCTTGCGCCATGTGCGGGATGCTCAGAAAGGTGTTCTCCACGATCAGCGCCAGCGCCCCGTGGAGGCGGCGGCGGTGGTGGTGGTGGAGGCGGCCATTTCCGTCGCCGCCGCCATCGTCTCCGTCCGGCTGCTGCTGCTGGCGGGCGGCGAGGTCGATGGCCACGGCGCCACCGAGCGAGCGGCCAAAGAGGACGACGCAGCTCGGATCCACATCGGGGCGCGCCATCGCGTGCGCCAGCGCGGCCTGGGCGTCGAGGTAGAGGCCGTGCTCACTGGGCTCTCCGTCGCTGTGGCCGTAGCCACGGTAATCGAGCAGCAGGACGTTCACTAAGGGGGGGGGGTGGGGGGGGGGCAAAGGGGTGAGACCGGCGGCAGTGACGGAGGAGACAAGAAGGCACACAGAGGCAAGGGAGCAGGAAGCAGCGGAAGAAAACATGAAAGGTGGGGTTGGGGAGACACATTGGGGATAAAAATCAAGATATCGTTACAATACCGACTGTAAACGGGTAAAAAAAACAAGTAAACCATTACGTATGTAGAACTTATTTTGCACCGTACGTAGCCAACTGCTAATTCACAAGTTTGTGGGGAATAAGCCATTTTCTGTAACTTGAGGCATAAGCAATGAGAAAATAACACTACCCAGGAACAAAAATCGTGTTACGTATAATCGGAGGTGCGGGGGAAGGACAACAAACTAAACACAAACCATGAGATGTGAGACAACGCAAAGAACAGGCAACAGATCTGATATTTCATGGGACCACCATTGCCAGTATCAAAATATGATAATAGGTTTTACCCTTTCTGGCAATATATATTTTGATAGTAGCAAGGGAGGTTCCATGATGTAGCTAGCTGCTCCACCCCGAGCTCTCAACGTCCTGATAGTGGTATTGTCTTTCATCTTCTTGGTTCTTTCGGTAAAGTCACGTAGAAGGGAAGTAATAAAATAATAAAAATAAAACATAATAAAATAATTCTCACGACGTTTCGGCCACAACGCAAGCAGCCGTCCTCAGGTGAAGACCAGGTCTGTCGGGGAGACAGCGTCTGAATGTCTTTGTGCTGTTCACCTTTTGGCGTCTTCAGATCTAACACCGTTTGAGACGAGGCTCTAAAGAAAGCTGTCTCTGGTGTGGACCAATCAGTTTCAAAGACAATGCATGTTTTTTATTTGTATTTTCACCACAAGTATATGTGGTTAATGCAGACATGATTCCTTGCAAAAGGTTTCAGTTTGGTGTTTTAACATCTTAACACCTGTTTTATTGCCAGAAAGGGGAAAACCTATTCTTATACTTATGGATCTGATATTCATGGGTATTACTATCTGAATTGTATTTTTTTAAAGGTCTTGAACTAACCTGAAATTAGAATGACCAGGAATGAACCACCCTCAAACCCAAAAACTTAAATATTTTAGAAAATGTGACATGTGGCAAAACAGTTATTATTCATTTGAAGATACATAACTGGTATAATGCAACTGTGGACAAGTGATCTCACTACTACGAGAAGTGGAACTTGTGAGCGTTTCATCCACGAGTCGCCGATGAAATGCATTTCGCTCTGTAAATATTACAATACTGGACCAGTGCAGGTCACACTAGCATCATCAGGCGACAGCAGATTTTCCAGATTTGGCTGTCGCCTGATGATGCTAGTAATTACTGGTGAAACGTCGTACTCAAATTGTAAATGTTGTGGATTTGCTCACCACCACACCGGTGCGCTGTACTAGTAACGAATTGGCACGTTCTGTTTACGTGACAAACCTTGTTAATTGTCTGTCAGGTGGTGGCGGGTTTAACAAAACATTTATATTTATGCAATCTAACCCAAAAAAAACCCATCTATTATTGGTCGCGGAAGCCTACTACGTGTTAAACTCAGCTCGAGGAAATTCACCTAAAATTCTGCGCCGGCCTGGTGGCAGAGCGGTTTGAGCAAGCAGCTCAGCAAAACGGAAGTTTGCGAAGTTTAAATGCTGCGGAGGGCTTCCCTCAGTCCATCACCCATCCGGCGCGCTATTATCCTGGCTTCCAACATTTACCGACGGTCAAGGGCCAATCCGGCAAAACCGCTCCAGACCGGCGATCGGCACCGTGTGCGTGACAAAAAAACGTCGCTATGCTTGATTTTAGTGTTAAATATTAGAAACTGTACATTATACACGACATACAACTTAAACAATGAAAATACTGCACACGTATCTATACATGGTCCCCATGGAAGGTCTTCGAGATTGGAGTGGCTAAGTACAGGTACAGTAAATACAATAACTTTTTAGAGTAGAACATTTATTTTTCTCGATTTGTATGTATATTTAATGCCAATTTCATAGAGTAAACACACTTTAAAGCATTAAAGAACATATAACAATAACTACAAACATGTGATAATTTTTTTTTGCAAAAACAATCTATTTTAAATAATAGTGATTAGTGATTATCCAGCGTTTTTGAAAATCCGGCACCCCCTCCTCCCCCCCAAAGCCAATGGATAATCGATGATCTGTATGTACCACTTTGTGGGGTAGTCAAATGGAGGTTGTGGATAGCCTCATCCCCTGCCACAAGAACATGACATTCCCACCAATGGCTCTGCAGAGTCGCGAACAGAAGATGAGTGCCGATGCCCGTACGCTCACTTTGAGCAGGTACCGCTCCCACTTGGCGGTAAACGTTCCGCGTGAGGCACACTGCGTTACCTCGCAGGTGCGCGACCATCATGAGTGCGTTGGGCATGCGGTGGCCCAGGTTCCCTGCGTTGCCGTGGAAGTAGATGAAGGTCGGGATGCCGGCCGGGGCGGCGGGGCCTCCCACGATGTCGCATGCGCGCAGGAACACGGCGCTGAGCGCCACGCCGTCGCGCGCGCGGACCCGCACGCCCTCACGGGGCACCCCCAGCGGGAGCGGCACGAACACGCGCGAGCTCGCCGGCTGCTCTGGGAAGAACAGCAGCTGGTCCTGGCAGCGGTAGAGCGTCGCCACCACCGACAGCAGCGCGAGAAGGAGCAGCGCGGCGAGCGGCGGGAAGGGAAACGGCGGCGAGAGGAAGCCGCGTTCGGCGGAGCGGGTCGCGTCGCCGCCATCGTCCCCGCCGCCGTCGCCGCACAGGTGGCAGGCGAGCACCAGCGGCAGGAGGCACAGGCGGCAGGCGTCCCAGCCTCCCGACAGCGCCCGGCGGAGACACACGCTCGCTCGGCCCCACGCGCGCCTGGCCATAGGCACGTGGCTCCGCGCGTCCCCGGTGCCGGCGCGCTCCACACTCACGTGCGCATCCCGGGCTGCGTCAGGAGCTTCGTGGAGGCCGCACTGTGTGGCGCTGTCCATTACACGTGCGGCGCACGCTCACGCACGCTCACGCACGCACGCTGGTGGCTGCGCATGCAGGCACCTGGCAGAACTCTAGAGAGTGCCCAGAGTTGCCCTGGATTCATCAAGAGTCATTTTGTTTGCGGTTTCACACTGGTCTTCAACCTGCAGAGAGAGAACGTTCACTCAATATTGGCAGAAGTCCTCTCTCAAGACAAGATATTCATTCGATGTATCAATTGTTTGTATAGTTATATTCCTTCATTATTCGTTTGCAAAGCCTGACCGACTTGGGCTTTCAGGTCTTAATGAGAATTCTGGCCAAGTGCTTAAAGGTCCACCATGAAAGGTATTCAGAGGTAGGGGGACACATGGGGACGATTGAAAATTATGAGACTAACACAATATAGCGCCTTGGATTAAGGCGCGATATAAATCTATAAGATATTTACCACTTTAATAAAATGACAGCATCAAATTCGCAACACCCCAAAGCATAAACAGCCGTGGTTCGGATGGATTCGAGAATTTCTCAGTTCCCCAGCCACAACAATTGGGATTAACTGACAGGGGTCAATGTCTAACAGCGATGATGAATCCAAGCGACACGTGTGTCTGCGTGTATTGCAAGTCTAAACGTGACGCGTAATGAACACCCGAGTGAGATGCACCGTTAACAAAGAGGTCGCATCACGTTCGTGGCAAGTGAGAATATGCAATACAGGGGGTTGTGGTGAGGCTAACACAATGCAAATAGTTTGGTGATTGAGATAGGATCAATGTCCGAGTTTATCCTCGAGCATAACAAGGAACTAAAAGCTCTATCTGCCTGTTTGAATCAGTTAGGTGCGGAGGATGTCAGGAATATAAATGTGGTCACCATGCGAGAAAAAATCTCGCATGATAGCTCAGCCGTAGAGTGAGCGTTCAAATCCTATCCTAAATCCGAATTGTAAATGCTTTGGGTTTACTCTCCAACACACAAGCGGTGTGTTGAACTATTAACGAATTGGCACGTTTTGTTTACGTGACAAACCTTACTAATTGGCTGTGTCGGATGGTGGCGGGTTTAACGACACATTGATATTTACGCGAACCCAAAAACCTCTATTATGTTCAAATCCTCGTTGGGGGTTTACTTCAGCCCTTCGTCCCTATGCACGCATCGTGGTCCTGGCTGGACACTGAACCACAGCCTCCTCGGTGAGGTCAAAGGCCTCTGAACTCCGACCTCGGCATAGTCGCGTACTCCCGGAAATAGTGACGGAGGACAAAACAAGACGGGGGGCGACAGCGACACCACCACACTCAACGGAACTTCCCGTGACGAAGAGGAGCGACGTTACCCGAGGCTGACCCCATCCTTGGCGTGACACTTGACTGCACACAAACTCTTTAATGGGGCACCCGAATAAGTATGCCTGGGTTAAAGAACCCAAGACGAGGGTGAACCTCATTCAAAAATGGGCTGGCATGAGCTGGAGGGCTGATGTCTCCATCGGAGCTTCATACTATCGGCATGCGCCCCTGGCAGTTTCCTCAAGCTCCGAACTGCGCTGCCCGAGTGTGGGGCAGAAAGCTGCCACCGTCGACTCGGCGACACCCAACAACGACGGGAACGTCACGATGCGGACTCTTCACGGGAACATAAATGTCTACGCGACTGCCTTGAATTCCTGTTCTGCTAAATATCACACCGGCGGATATTCTCTGCGATTCTGCCAACACATCTGACGGCCGATCCAAACCTCCCAAATAACGATTATTGAAACATCATTCCGCATGCACGGCTGAGATCCAGCCGTTTTAGAAACATGCACAAACTGTGTGTGAACCTATTTGTGGAATGCAAGCAACGTGTCCAACACTGCCTGGCTTCCTCGACACACAGCTCATCAGCGAGCCCTCCACCAGTGTAAGGCTTCCTCTACACACAGCTCATCAGCGAGCCCTCCACCACACTGCCCGGCTTCCTCTACACACAGCTCATCAGCGAGCCCACCACCACACTGTTTGGCTTCCTCTACACACAGCTCATCAGCAAGCCCACCACCACATTGCCCGGCTTCCTCACACACAGCTCATCAGCGAGCCCACCACCACACTGCTTGGCTTCCTCTACACACAGCTCATCAGCGAGCCCACCACCAAATTGCCCGGCTTCCTCACACACAGCTCATCAGCGAGCCCTCCACCACACTGCCCGGCTTCCTCTACACACAGCTCATCAGCGAGCCCTCCACCACACTGCCTGGCTTCCTCTACACACAGCTCATCAGCAAGCCCACCACCACACTGCTTGGCTTCCTCACACACAGCTCATCAGCGAGCCCACCACCACACTGCCCGGCTCCCACCTTCCACAGAAACAACGGGCATTCACAGAAACAACGGGCATTCCTGAAGCACAAGTGGATAGTCAGAGTCTCTCTCTCTCTGCTGCGTGCGGCTGTGGCTACGAATCCCAACCCCTCGCACCACTTTGCTTCGCACTGCGCCAAACACAAACTTGAAGACGGTGGCCTGGGTGAGTGCATCTGCTGTTACTTTCATCAAACTCTCAACGCAATCGCACGGTCACGTTACTTACGGCAGAACCTCTGGCCTACGTGTCGTGGAAAAGGGCCATTGCTCGATACGTCGCCTATGACGAGACGCTTTACGAGGCCACACACAGCGACGAATGCGCCCAGGGCTGCCCCGCTGCTGCTGCTGTTTGTGCACCGCTGATCAATGCAGCAGCATCAGTAAATGCGCTGAATCTCTGTAGTTGCTCTTCATTGGCCACACAAAATCATCCGTGTGATACGAGCACCACTTTGTGGGGGGGGGGGTGTCAACAGTGTGGCTAAATTTCCTCCCTCTCCCGCCATAGGAACGTAGAATGGTCACTCCTCCGCAACACGCACAACCCCCCCACATTGCAGGAAGCCGATGACGCCATGAGGCTCGAACCCCGCCCCCTGACCCCCCCCCCAGTGCTCAGCCAATCGCACGCCTCCTCTAGAGCCACGCCCCCTCCCGTTGCCCCCCCCTCGACCCCCCCCCCCCCCCAGTGCTCAGCCAATCGCACGCCTCCTCTAGAGCCACGCCCCCTCCCGTTGCCCCCCCCCCCTCGACCCCCCCCCCCCAGTGCTCAGCCAATCGCACGCCTCCTCTAGAGCCACGCCCCCTCCCGTTGCCCCCCCCTCGACCCCCCCCCCCCAGTGCTCAGCCAATCGCACGCCTCCTCTAGAGCCACGCCCCCTCCCGTTGCCCCCCCTCGACCCCCCCCCCAGTGCTCAGCCAATCGCACGCCTCCTCTAGAACCACGCCCCCTCCCGTTGCCCCCCCCCGACCCCCCCCAGTGCTCAGCCAATCGCACGCCTCCTCTAGAGCCACGCCCCCTCCCTTCACGATCACCCCCGCCCCGAGAGTTGCCACCTAGGCAACGGGCAGGGCCGCGGCCTTAACCGGGAAAACCGCCGCGAGTTGACGCGGACGCAGAAATAAAGCGCGCGCAGGCGAAGGACGCGGCGCGAGGTGGAGCGCGGCGCTGGACGCCGCCCGCGCGGACCCCGCGAGCGGTCGCCCGCGGGGACGTCGCGCGGCGCCCGGGGGCCCCCGTAGGCCGAGACGAGAGAGAGGGGGGGGAGCCGCTCCGCCTCACCTCGCTTCTCGCCGTGACGCGGCACTCCCAGCGTGCCCCGCGCGCGCGTACACGGCGCCGACCAATCAACGGCGGCGGCGGCTTGCCCCGCCCACAAGGCGGGGCTATAAGTAGAGAGGGTGTCACGTGCTTCGGAGTCACGAGGCGGAACTGAAGACGCGGCCGCTTCGAGTGCGTGGTGGTGCTGGTGTTGGGCAGGGGAGCGGTGGGTGTAGTGGTTAGCGCGACGAACCCGGCTCACGGACAACACCGGTGGCGATTATATGAACAGATCCTGGGCCTCCCCTAGATCGACTCGGCCTAAAAACGAGTAACCCTGTGCGGTGTGTAAAACATCGGCCGGGCGTGGTGGCCGTGCCATGCCGGCCTTCATAGGTGCTCGCTAACAGCACTTGCACCAACAGTCTGTTAAGTCTGCACGAGGTGATGACCTGTGGTGCTGCTACTGCCGTCTAAGCGTGAGTCTCTACTGCTGCACGTGTACGCTCTGCCATGGGTGGAAAACACCCGATTTTTCCAGCGGCAGGCATCGGGTTTTTTTCTTTAATACAATTAAACCCTATTTTGGGTAATTAATACCTGGTTTAATGAATACGAAACTCTGATCCTAGGCTCAGGCTGCTGCCTCGTCGGTGCTGCTATCGTACTCGAGGCCGTCGGGAACGGGGTAGTCGTAGAATGCGGCGGGCAGGTTGGTCGTGATGAACACGAGCGCCTCCACAATCGTGGGCGCCAGTGAGTTCCTTGGCTTGGAATGGATGAAGCCCATCGTTGAGAAGTGCGGTTCTGAAATTAGTACCAATTAAACCGGATTTCTCCCAATCTCAGATGATCGGGTTTAATATAAAAAGACAAACCCGATTGTAAAAACCCCGACTGTGCCAACCTTGCGCTGTGCACGCTCTGCACTGCGTGGTCACGGTCGCCGCTTCGCGTGTGCCGGTGTCGCCAGCGTGTGCTCAAACCGGTGTCGCTCAATTTGCTCTCGCCGTGTCCTCTCGCACCTCCCTGCTGCAGGCCCAGTCGTCTTGCTGCCCCCCGCCTCCTCCCTTGTGTTGCCGCGCCAGCGAGCAGCATGAAGTGCCTCTTCATCGCCGACAGCAGCGCCGACGTGAAGTTCGTCTGGGCCGATGCGGCGTTCGCTGCACGACTCCACCGGGCGGCAGGTGGCGTGGGTGCGTACCGCCGCGTGTCCGCCTCTCCCCTCACACCGCGCTCCTCACGTCTCCCAGTCTTCTCTGGGAGAGAGGGGGGACGAGGCTCGCACCACGATCGCCATTCAACCCCCCCCCCCCTCTCCACCTTCTCTTTGCAGATGCGTCGCCCGAGCAGGAGGTGCCGACGGCACTCGACATGGACAGCCTCGTCTACCGGATGTTCGCCCCTCTCGTGGCGTCAGCCACCGTCCTGGAGACGGAGCTGGAGGACTCGTACGCGTCGTTCGAGTGCGTGGGCGACGCGCGGTACGCGCTGCGGCGCTTCGGGGACCTCCTCTACGTGGCCGTGAGCGCGTGCGCCGCTCCGCACGGCGCCGAGACCGACCTCGCACGAGACATCTTCGCCCTCCGTCGCCTCGTGGAGTTTCGCTTCGGCCTGGCCTGCCACGACTCTGAACTGCTGCGCAAGGCGCTGAAGCCACCGGGGCTGGAGAAGAGGCGTCGCGTGTGGGCCGAGCTGGACTCGACGCTGAGCGCACTGGCACGGCTGCGCGGCACCGAACAGGGCTTCCTGGCGGAGGCTGTGGAGCGCCTCGCGTCGCCGCAGCTGGCCGAGGGCTGCCTGGAGCGCCTCGAGAAGGTGGTGATCGCGGCGAACGCCGTTCCGGAGCGGGAGCGCGAGGGCGAGGAGGTGGTGCACGCATTTATCCTGGTGCACACTAAGCTGCTGGCGTTCTACTCTGCACGGAACGCGGGGGTCCTGGCCCCCTCCGATCTGCTGCTTTTGATTCTCATGGCGCAGAAGATGTTTCCCCGCAGGGAGGAGGGCAACGGGGCAGCATCCGAGGGTGCCGCGACACCCACGGCAGCCGCTGAAAAACATGAAAATGGCAGAAAGGCGGAACCCAGAGCCACGTTCGGCAACTCCGGCAGCGGCAAAGGCCGACAGCAGCCGCCCGGCAAGCGGCCTGGCGGCAGGGCGTCGGGCAACGGCGGGGATGCCGAAACGGGAAGATGCCCGGGGAAGGTCGAGTTTGAGTTTGTGAGGAGCGAAGCCGTGAACCCGAGGTCCCAAAGCCCCAGCCGCTTCAGTCAGAACACATCGAGCGAGGAGGACTTTCAGATGGCTTTGGAGAGCGTCGCGGATGAGACCGTGCTGGCCGAGCTGACGGAGGGAGGGTGCCGGAGCGGCGGCTCCTCGACGCTCGCCGCAAGCTCCGTACCGTTTGTGTTTGGCTTCGATGCGCAGCGCGTGGCGGCGAGCGTGGGGGCCGGCCACTGCGAGGATGATGATGATAAGCTACCGAAACGCATCTTCCTGGAGACGGGAGGACGCGAGAGCTACAGCCCGTTCACTCCGCACAACCTCTACTGCTACGAGGTGCACCCCGGCATCACGCTCTCCTTGCTGAGCCGCGGCCCCAGCAGCCGCCTCGCTGCCCCCATGTCGTCGCTGCTGGACTACTTCGTGTCCGTGGAGAAGATTTTTGACGAGGGCATCCGACCCCGACTTAAAGACGACCTGGATAGAAAAATGAAACAAATCGTCGACTGCCAGAAAATCGGCCGCTCGCAGACAACATCTCTGCAGGAGGTGTGGCAACTCTTTAAGAGGAAGCTCTTGGTGAAGAGCAGCGAGACTCTGGACGTCGATTTCTTGACCTCGGCTTGCCGCACCATTCAAAAGTATCTCTGCAAAGCGTTTAGTGTGCTTTACCTGCTCGATACTCCAAGCGCCCGCATGTACCGGTCCCTTGAGGAGAGCGCGCTGCAGTCCATGCGCAAGAAGCTGGAAGACTACAAGGACTTCCTGCTGGTGAAGAGTGCGCGCAACATCACGATGGCTGCCTACCTGGAGAAGTTCCCCGGACTTGTCCATTTCCTCTACATGGACCGGGCCCTAGGGCTCCTGGTCGCCCCGGCACTGCTCACGGAGGGCGGCTCGGAGCTGGGTCATGGGGCGATCGCGGCCGTGGTGCGCGACCTCGTCTGGTGGTTCGTGTCTTTCTCTCGGCGAATGCTGCGGCACGGTTATAATAGCATTGCTCTCCGCAAGGGCGACTTCGTCTGCTCCTACTTCCTGTGGTTTCGTGATACCGGTGGCAAGAGCCTTGCGGCTCCAGACCTGGAGGCGGACGTTGAGGAGGGCCTGCCGGGCAGCCCGTGGGGGTGCTGGCGGGGGACTCGTACCGCCGCCTCATGTGGCTCTCGGCGAGACGGCGCCAGGAAGAGGTGCGCTGCTACGAGATGGTGACGCTTCACCTGGCGGTGGTGCCTGCGGAGTGCATCGCTCAGCAATGCCAGCAGTTGGTGAAGACGCTCTGGGAGCCACCAGGGCTGCCCTTGCTTTGACCAACGATGAGCCCGATGGTACGCAGCGATTCGGTTCACATGAAGCAAGACTTGCTGGGAATCTTAAGTCCAACGTTGGTGTTGCTAGAATCTGTGCCTCGGGGAATCCAGGCTGTCGATTACTTTACGAGCTTCTGCCATGAGGGTTTTGGTGGGATGCAAGCGTTTGATGCAAGCAACTTGCAAGTGCTGTGGAGCTTGTAGGAAACCCACCCCCCTGGGGCCACGCAGCCCCATTCTGCTCCACTCATGAAGCCACGTGTGCCTAAAACTGGGAGCTCCTCTGCTGCTGGGCCACCAACAGTTAGTTAATTCCATCGGCATCATCGGATTTTGTTGTAGAATGCCTGTCGAGTTGCACTTTAACATAAAGCTGCATACACTTAGGCCTTGGCAACGCTGTCTGTGGTGAAGAAGCATGCGGTTGCTGCCTGTAACAGGCGAGACTGGTTTATACGGACTTGTGGATGTAGAAAATTATTTTAAATGTTCTTGGCCAAATGCTTACCACAGCCAGTGAATCTGTGATCAGAAAGAGATACTGTGTCATGGCCTGTCTCATACAGAATTGCCAATCTCTTTATCAAAGAAAGTGCTTGTGTTAATGGTGCATCATCAGGTGTCTCATTGCCAAAGTCTCAAGTGGATGTATTACCCTAAAGCGGCTGCACTCGCAATGCTTGTCTGCCAACTACAAAGTGTAATGCAGAAGGGCAAGGCCTAAGATGTTGAACCGAGATGGCGGTATGAAGGCAGATGTTGGATAAACGTGAGACGATCGTGTCCTGGTGAATGGACACCGAGGCTGCCCAATGTGCTAAATATGCACCTAAAGCTCTATCAATTATAAAGTAAGTTTCTTGACACGTTTATTAAATAAAGGTGACTGTACACATTGAAAAGGGCTTTTTCAAGACTTATAGGTTGTGCTTGAAGTTTGTTGTGAAAATGAAAGGCATACTACAGCGTGCAGATTTTGGCATGCAGTGTGAAAATTCGGTCACATTCAACTGCATGTCTTAATTTATGCCGTAAACGGTGGTGTATGGACATGAGTATTGAATGTTAAAAACCAGATGTTCCCTTGTACAACACAATTTCAGTCCGTAACATGTGAGAAGTTGGAATCCACACACCTCTCGAAAATGAATGTAAAGCAGTACTTTTTTTTATTGATTTAACATTGTAATGTTAACTTAAATGAATACTGAGAAGTGTGTCATCACCCGTGGTCCCTGGATTGCAGAACTCCTTCACATGTGGAGAGGTCATCTTATCCAGCTCCGATTAACAGGCATCTCTTGGGATTTGTGCTCAGTCGCTCGCTAAAACGCGTCGTCACGTAGTGGTTTGGTGTGGGCTTGCATCCAATTAGGAAATAAGCTGCGTTGAGGCCCTCTGTAGCAACAGCTTGAATGTCACTAGGAATGGTTTGCCCCCTGTGGTGCACATGCAGAGGTCTGCACGGCAGCTTCACAGGCCTCCCGTTAACAGGCATGAAACTGGCGTGTGTGGCGTAAGAACCTGAAGTTTGCAAAGTGGCATCTGTCAACCACCAGGCAAGAGCAAATATAAAGGTTATGTTACAGTCGCACCGAGGCACAAATGCGTCTAAAATGTTCACACATGGCGACAGAACCAGCTGACTCCAGCACCTCTCAATGCATTCGCATCAACTGCTCATTCTCTCCGTCCGTGTCCTGAAACGGTTACAATAAGGGCAATCCAGGCATTTAAGTAACAAGATATACTGAGTTCGTGTACTGTATTTCTAGCAACGCGGCAGAATGTGTGGGTAACCAGCGTGACCTCGAGGTGTACAGGAAGCTGGGTTACTCGCGAAAAGGCCACTCCCACACAAGCAGCCCCCAAGTACATGGGCCACTGTAAATAAGTCCTACAGCTATTGCAATAAACATGCTCGCAAACCAATGCACTAAAAGGTATGATGTTATGTTGCAATTGCATAAATCTATTTTCATTGATAATGCATGTTAAATAAATGTATATCCGCTGCATATGTTGCATAACGGTGTAGCCATCCCTTGGTGTGCACTTCTGCAATGTGCAGTTCGTAAATATAAGATGCTGGAAGTACAATGCCAGATGCCACTCTGAGACGGTGGCTACAAGACCGTGTGGTGCCGCACCCAGGGCCTATGCAGTGGTGACACCACCAAGGCCAGACTGACAACCATCTATCCTAGCATGCAGGCGAAGCCATACTACTGTTTTCTTTTGGCCCAAGCAGTTATTCGTTTTCGGGAGCGCAGGCATTGAATCCTATCGCGCAGTGCATTTTATAGTTGCCACGTCGCAATATTTCCAATCAGATTCTCGTAGGAGCCGTGCACCAAGAACGAGACAAAGCTCACGTAAATGACGTGACTCCCAACACCAGTAGCAGCAGCACTCGTCTGAACAAAAATGACAGCGCCACATCGCCAAAGGCGTACAGAGACCCTTGCTCTGTGGGGTATTCGGATGTCTACTCAGTGCTGTATTAACACGCGTAATCTTTGCAACCTGAACATCCCCGATCATATACACAGTTGTATAGGCAGATGCAATTTGGGCATAGTTTACCAAGTACAGTTTTGTCTTAAGCTTAGCTTCAAGTTCACCTACACTCAACATTCAGCTGTGCACACAGGCAGTAGAAAATCCGCACGCAAGCTATGGGAGTGTACAAATTATTTGAACCAGTCTTACTGTAAAATTCCACAATCAGAAGCAACTTAGCATTGTGCAGAGTTACAGCACCAAACTTTCAATACAAAGTAATTGTCATGTACGGAATTCTTTAGGCTACTGAACTGCAATTGCCAAATGTCCGCGTGTATTTCGGTTTTCCGAGCTTTCCAGCCAATGCTGATTGTGGGTCTGGCCCTTGCCTATGTTGACACCCATTGAGAAGGCGTCTGTCAGCAGAACAGTCACCGCGCTTCTCTGCAATTCATCCATGCGCTCGGCAAACACCACTTCCCCCCCCCATGCTTCCCCCTTCTCATCTTCCTACTATGTGCTGCTTCGCTCGGCAGCTTCGGGTCAAAATGCACTGAAGCCAACTGAATTGCACAGCTGAAAGGGGTAGTGTAAAGAATAAATTATAAACATTTAAACCTGAAAGTGCTGTCCAGCACATAGATTAAGCAGTGAGATTAAATACGCGTTCTACATGCGTTTGGCAATGGCTACAAACGAGTATCAATTGGGCTCAAGGCATTTAAAGCACTCTTGTGGTGGGGTAAGATGGGTCACTTCTGACAAAATCCTACAAAGGCATTCGTTCGACCGTGCAGATCTCACCATTTTATTTTGCAACAAATCCCTTGAACTAAAATGCATACTTTCATGCAAATTCCAAAAGATTCAACGGCGATGCACTCTTGGCTCCAGAATTCTTGATGCCGAGACCTCGTTCCTGAGGGTTACTGTGCGCACCCCATCCCACTGGAAACGCGTCGGGGTGCGGCTGCTACTGCTGACGCGCTCGGCAGGTGACGGCCAGCGTTCTGCACGAGCGCCGGAGAGTCCCCAACAACACTGGTCACCAGAGGCTGAGTTTGTCTTCACCGGCCAGCGGCTTCTTTTTATTTTACTTACAAAAATGAAGAGGCCTCAAAAAGTTTAAAAACGCCGTGTCCAGTAGAAACGTGTCCAGCTGAAGTGCTCGCATCTCTCCCCGGGCTGGAATGTCTCCCCCCCCCCCCCCAACGCGGTTTATTTCTTCATGTCAATTACAGCGACGTGAAATGTATTGGACCAACAGATCGGAACTGTCATAGATCCGCTGTGAGCTTCTCTACCGAGGCTGTAATCAGCGTCTTATATCAGAATCTCGACCATCTCGTTATCCATTTGGTCTTCCTGGGGCAGCCCTGACATGGGCAGTGGGGCTCTCCCGTCCAGTGACTTCTCACCAGCTGACATCTTCATATCTGCAAGAGAACACAAGCAGGAAAGGGCACAAATCATGGACGGATGTACCTCAATATACGTTTGGATTGAGTTCTTGAAAACCTGAACGCAAAGTGAAAAATCGCAATGTATATCGAAACGTATTTTCCCATAAGGCCCCAAATGCATAACCTAAGATGCGCGTTCCTAAGAAAATATTTTCTGACTCAAAGCCTACTAAAATAACACTTTTCAACAAAACTAAGATTTTTTTCATGCATAAATATGGGCAGCAGGAGCATCAGCCTCTCCCTCTTGGGTGTACATACAGTCCAAAGTGAGATGGAACGTACAATAGTTTGGGCTACTTGGCTTGTTTAAAGAAGTGGCGAGGCCAGGTGCAGGCACGGACAAACGACAACGTGGAATTTACTGCAGGTATTTTCACATTTTTTCCACCAAAATTTAAAAAACATAGAATAACCGTAATACCAAAACAAACGAGACGTAAACTCAAAAAAGTGTTAATTTATGACAAATGTAATATTGAATCCTCGTATATTTCATTGATGTATATCAGGGTTCACCTGGACAATCGCCATCCCAAACAGATCCCAGTCATCCCTCTATGGCCTCCTCCCCAAATCGCTCATCACAAAACACCATTTGATGCAAAATTTCACTGCCAGACTTCTCACCCACACATGTGAATCATGAATACAATTGGTAATCGCACTAATCGCAGAGGATACCATGGCGGTAGTTTTGCAAGGGGTCGATGTTGCTAATTGGAATTGGGTATTTTGCGGATTTGGACCATCTCGTACAGAATTGAACACTGACTGACTGCACTTTACCACACATTCTTCACACACACACCTACACAACCACCACAACTGCTGCTACTATGTATTACTTATATCCCACTGCTCAAGTCACTATTCTCTCCACACTTATCCTACTTTGTCTCTCTTACCCCGCATAAGTGTAAATAGTACCTACTGTGAATAAGTCTTATTATATTTCTCACCACTTTTTTATAGTGTTATTTTTGTGCTTTTCTTATTTTTATTGGCATAGTATTTTTTGTTGACTACTTATTGCCTAAATTGATTTTTTTATAGCTGTTGCACTGTTTGAGAGGAGAGCTTGTGAGTAAGCATTTCATTGCAGTTAGACTTCTCTGTATCCTGTGCATGTGACAAACTTTTATTTCATTTGACTTTCCCAGAGACCTTCAGTCACCTTATCCCTCTTCTATAGCGACTACTATGCCTCACTGTTCTTGTGAGCACTGCTCGTTGAGTCCTCCACCCATGCTGAGGACTGTCTACCAGACACTCACCACACCGCAGGTCACAACAACACACCCCCCCCCTCTCACCCCACGGCAGGTCATAACACTTCTTCTTGCTTCTCTCACATTGCTCCACTTATAAATCCCCTTCCATTACCTCTTTTTCAAAGTTCTTATATAACCTTGTTGAATTGACGAAACGCATCAACTCCATAAATTACAACTTTGATAGTGCTGTTTATTACTGGCCGCTTGACACGCACCCAGCAACTGCGTTGAGAAAGACAATCACCGTCCCACTCGACGCTCATGCAGGCGAGGAGAAATTCGCATTGCAAGACGCTACCCAAGTCTCTCGCTGTGCGACCGAGTGGAGCCACGTGCTGCTCGCTGACCTGCACGGTCCCTGGCGTCGACTCGCAGGATGTGGAGGCTGGGAAGCATCTTGCTTCCACGAGGGAGGGTGTTGCTCTTCTTGCGCTCCGCTGCAGCAGGATCCACGTGGGGGCTGGAGCTGCCCTCCTGGGCCCCACGCTCCGTCTGCGTGCTGCTGTCCTTGCTGCTGGACTTGACGTGCGTGAAGTGTGGCGACGGCGGCGGCAGAGGGGACAGCGCCCGCATCGGAGAGAGCCCCAAGGATGCCGTGGAGCCTTCCTCTGCCAGCTCGGTGCTCACCAGGCCACCTGTAGTGGAAGACAGGCAGCGTTGCGTGGAGTCAAGCAGGGTCGCGGGTCGCATGGCCCCATATTGTCAAGATGGGGCGATACGTCTGGCTGAATGGCCATATGAATCACTGTTTTTATTCAGTAAATATAATTTTTTTGGTAATTTGCAGAAAAAGCTTCAATTTTTATGAAGTAGAAAGACAAAGATCCGTATATCCTTAACAGACTGTTGGGGCAAATGCTGTTAGCGAGCAGCTATCCAGGCCGGCACAGCACACGAGGGGGTGGGTGGCCAACACCATGTCCGGCCACCTTTGTGTCCCCAATGGCAATGTTTATACACCATAACCAGGTACTCATTTGAGGCCGATTCGACCTCGGTGAGGCCCAGGACCAGTTCAAATCGTCACTGGCGTTGTCTGCGAATGGAAATCGAACTCGAGTCGCAGGGTTTGTAGTGCAGCGCACTAACCGCTGCAACACCGCTCCCCACAGTATGAAGTATACAAACATGGTCACAAACACAATCACTCATTTTCAGGTGGTCAGGCATCAGAAAACGTAAACGATGCAAATGGGACCATCTGCCTAAATCTTTATGAATAGACCCTTGTTCCTGCAGAGTTCAGCCACAGATCCAAGTAAACTTACTTATATAAATCAGGATCCTGGCTCATGCAGAACAGGTAAGCATAAAAGTTTATTCTGTTAATTTTGTTTTAACGGTGAAAAGTCAAAAGACCGGGACGAGTTATCTGCAAGACTGACCTGAAATCACGTAAATGCGAACAGCAAAACAAATAAAATAAAGTACAACAATTAAACAAAGAGAAATCAGAGCCATAGCGACCAAATAAAAATCACGTCAAAAACAATTGCACAACAGAGGGAAAATAAATAAATAAGGGTTTGTACCTTGGTAAAAACGTGTTTATTCTAGCCGATGCCGCTGTCTACTTAAAGAGATTCGTAACCCTCAGAAATTCCCATCAAGGCACATAACGTGGTGCAGAGTTGAAGTGTGCGCTCCGTGCCTGCCCTTGCCACCTCACTTCCCCCCAGCTTGCTACCCACAATCCTCACTGCTCATTAGAAGTAGGGTAAACACAAGAACAAAAACTCTCCTCTCCAAGCATATCCCAATTCATTGGAAGTCGAGCTGTCCGCTTTGTGTAATGGTGCAGCCCTGTGTGGAAGGGCTGCACATTGCCGGTGACGCTCTCGTTTGTTTGCCCACGCAAGCACGTCGGGCTGGGCTTGGGCTGGGTTGTCTAACGATGAGCGGTATCCCGAGCAGAGGGCACGGCCAGATGAAGGTTCTAGTGGGCCCGAGGCACTTCTGTTTCGTAGGCCTTCAGTGATAACTTTGTACAGTTGGCACTGCTGCCCATGTTACGACTACCGCCGGTCACTCGCTTGTTTTACACGTACTTCGTCCAGCTGCTGGACAGATGTCGTTACTGATACGTTCATTATTTAGTCTGTACCCGAATTCGATGGGAACGCGCTGTGTGCCGCAGACAACATTTAAATGACTCCCCCTCTTTGTATATACACTGGCTAAATCAATATATTTATTCGAGGAGATATTTTGGTTACATTTTTATTATCATATAAACAACAACAAAATATTTTTTTTGTAGCCTCCTTTAGTTTTAAAAGGCCCTAAGCACATTTCCTACTGTGGCCTATTGGATAATACGGCCCCTGAGCGAGAGAACACTGCTGTCGGAATTCCTATCCCCAATTGGAAAGCAGCACACATCTCGCTTTGCTGGAGCAATTGGAGCATTGTGACCGAGCACTTAAGAGTGCTCCCTTCCCGGTATCCGGATGAGCTTGTAGAGGAGCTTGTGGCCCCTGTGCCCGATGAGCCCGCAGGAGAGACACTGCCAAGAGGCGGGCGCCTTTGGAGACGTAGACCGTGACAGGATGCATCTTTCCCTGTCAAGATGGCCATTGCCTCTCAGAAGCAGTTGGCATCACCCCTCACAGCTGCGCCGGCCCCTCCTCTTGCACCAGAAGAAAGCTGCGTTCGGTCGAGATTGCAAGTCATGCTCGGCTCCCAAACGTGCAGAGCGATGTTTGGGAGTTGAGCAAAGGTCACGTCCACGCCGCATTAGCGATGCTAACGCTTGGTGGGGGTGCCAATGCGAGCGGAATTTGAAATATAATTTATTTATTTTCAGCATGCACCAAACAAACTTTTTGTTCCATAAAATGGTACAGCTTCCTCGTCTCTATATGTACTCGTTAACTGCTCCTAACTCTATCCTGGATGGCCACCCCTTCTCCCTTCACCTGCTGTCGGTAAAAAAAAAATCAGTGAGTATAGTGGGTAGCAAACTTGGGGAAATGAGGTGGCATGCGCCCACCTCAATTATCTCTCTCTCTGCACCACGTTCCGTGCCTTAACTCGGATTGCTGAGTGTGAGGAGTTGCGACTGGTGGACAGCGGCATCGACGAAAAAATAAAAGGCGAACAAACGTGACATTATCTAACATACATTTTTCCTTTCAGAAAATTGGTTCGGACAAATTACGTTGAAAAATTGAATCGTTCACCGTAAAAATAAGTTAAAGAAACATTAAAAACTGAATCATGGTGGTTATTAGACAAACACGTAAATGGACAAGGACATACGTCCAAGTGAAGTTGTAGCACAGAATAAAAAGTTTAGCGTCAAATTGACGAATGAGACGAAAATGATCCAACAGGCCTGAAGAACGAGAGGGCCTCACGCAACATAACCATGACGTACTGAAGCTGCCGGTCCGAGCTCCAAGCCGCTCCTCCAGCGAGGGGCTGGCTGCCATGGGCGGCTTCCGGGCGGCAAGGCCACTGGCCAGACCACCACCGGGGCTCCCCGATGCCGCTGCCGCCGCTGCGATCGACGGGACGGACTTGGCTGGACGGAGGGAGGTTGCAGACGACTCCAGTCTTTCCCTGCTGCTCCTTGCGCGACCGCTGCTGGAGAACCTTTATCATGGCATCCTTCTCGATAATCTGAGCGTGCAGATTTTTTATCCTACAAAAAAGAAAATTAACGGCTTAGCAACACAAAACGTCCGTAAGATCAGCACACAACATAGACACCACACATGTGACCCTAGAGACACCACTGGACCTTTTGCCAGTATCACAAATTATGAAAAAATTATAGGTTATTTATTTGGTCTTTAAACACCTTAACACCTTTTTTATTGCCAGAAAGGGTATAACCTATACTTGTATTTTTAATAATTTTTGGCACGAGCAAAACGGTCCCATAGATGTAACTGCTCGACCCAAGCTCTAAGTATTCTGATGATTGCATTGTCTTTGTACTGGTCACCTTTTGGCGTTCTCTGGTCTACCACTGGTGACTAGGCCATAAAGAAGGCTGTCTCTGGTGTAGGCCAACCACTTTCAGAGACAATGCATATATTATCAGAGCATGTTTGCATGTTTTGCCACAATTATGTGTGGTTAACGCAGACTTGGTGCCTTGCAAAAGGTTTCTATTTGGTGTTTGAACAACTTAACTCCTGTTTTATTGCCACAAAGGGTAAAACATATTCTTATTTTTTCACCACTCATGTCACCCTACAGACACCACTCACCTGCCTTCCATGTCATGGCAGCGGCGGCTAGCCAACATGAACTCCTCCTCCTCCGAGAAACTTGCATTTGGAGAATTTGCAATAATCGTTGTGTCTCTAAAGAAGACAAAACAGGAATTAGAAGTTTCCAGACTTAACAACGTGCGATCCTTTTTGGCATTTTAGATGCTCGAGGAGCGATGAGCCAGCTACGTGAATTATACATCATCAGTTTCAATGTTAGTGGTGGACCAGGCCCGGTGCCAGCGCATTCGCTGCATGTTGCGGAGGTCCGCGGTTCGATTCTGGCAGGCCACCCTGATTAATGTGGTGGGTGTGTATTAACCGCAAAATGCCTCACGCCATCTACTTCGCAGCAGATGCTAAATATCTCGTGATGTAATTTGAATTAGAGTAGGCCACTGTGTCTTGGTGCAAGTCCAAATTTACCCCTTTTTAAAAAAATTACTCGCAAATTACTTAATTGGGAAACGCGTAGCAATCGTCTCCCCGAACTGCAAAAACCTAGCAGGACCCTCATGAAAAAGTTGAGACTCAGCGAGGTTTTCCCAAGGTACACAATCGTTTAATAACTTTATTATGATGCAAATTAACAGTGTCTTGTTTCTGCCACCACGATCCACACACGGTGGCCATGTAAGACCCAGATTTCTGTGGCCGAGCGGGGAGCTCATCTTCTCGACAGCCTCTCACCGCTCTGTGGCCGCGGTTGCGGCTGCGTCCATCGCAAACTGGCGCATGGCGCTCTCCTCCAGGTACTTCTGCTCCCAGCGCATCATGTCGGCCTCCAGCGCCAGCACCCGCTCCTCCTTCTCGCGGAGCAGCTCCATCAGCGCCGGCGCCGCGTGCTCCGACGTTGCTCCTGGGGGTGGCGCTCCCTGCCGCTGCACACGCCACGGAGACAGTGCACGTTCCTCACCGTGGCCGCCACCCAGAGCAACACCATGGTGATATTTCACTCTGTGGCAACCTTGGGCCAGGTCGAGCACCGTAGGCTCAACGTAAAGAGGACAGGGCAATTGAGGAGAGAGCACTCCACTGCTGCACTCCAGTCACTCGCTCGTTCGCCCGGCGGTCAGTTGCCGCCTTGTTAGCACTCTTCTATCGCGTCTATCATGCTTCCTATTCCCATTGATTCCTGCACTCATGTTGAAACCGATTATTTCGCTTCATTTCCACTGTGATCATCTACCACACTGCAGGACACACCAAGGGCTCTGATTGTAATTTCCCAGGTGTTGTGATTGTAATTCACGGGATCCCAGGTGTTGTGATTGTAATTCACGGGTTCCCAGGTGTTGTGATTGTAGTTCATGGGTTCGTGTGGCACCTGCTGTGCACGCAGAGTTTCCAGTTCACGCTCCAGCCGCGTGCGCAGTCGCCGCTCCAATTGCTCCCTCTTCTCGCACGCCACCTGCAGCTGGGACAGTGCCTGCTGCAGCTTCTCCACTTTATCCACGTAGAACTGCTTCTTCTTGAGCTACACACGCAATTGCACGTTCGCAATGTCAGTTTCGAAGCAACTCCTGCAAAACATGCTCTTCAAGGAATTCAAAAGCAAGATGTTAACATTCTTTGCTCACATAAAAACGAAACCAATCACTCTTAAAAAAAAAGTAGATATCACAAAAATCACAACACACGGAAGCAATGCTCATGATGAAATGACAGGGCCCTGAGTGTTCGCGCTCAAAAACCCAAACGTATTGCAGCCTCCTGCTTCTCTTCACTGTTTAATCTATAGCTCCAGAATTAATCCTAAGGAGTTTAAATACAAGTGTACCAGATGAAGCAGGACAAACACTGCAAGTGGGAATTCGCTGATTTCAGTGGGGGATAACGTTATTATGCAGTTTTACACAATTAGGTAATTTCGAAGTAATATTCAAACGTGTAAAATCTGAACCGTGAGACACTCAGGCAGGTGACCTAAGATTCGTGTTTGTTACGGATTAACTTCAGGAAGATGGTGAGCACAACACGATGGAGTAATCACGGCTTGGCTCGTGAGGAGCGAGAGAGGGGGGACGAGACAGAGAGAGGCACTCGCACCTCCTCCTGCAGCTTTGCCGCCTTAGCCTCGGAGCTGCTGAACGCCTGGTTCAGCAGCTCGATGTGGCGCCGCTGGTCCCCATTGGCCGAGCGAAGCCCCGCAAGCTCCACCTCCAGCTTCTCCTTGGTCAGCAGGGTCTCCTTGTCTGCAAGTGGCATACAGCAAGAAGGTGAATATTTCACAAGCGCATACTCGGGTGGCTTTTTTTTTTTTCAATAAAGGTAACGCAAACAGAAGGGTACACTCTACATATCAAGGTCACGATGTCAACATGGCCAAACCCGCTAAGTCCACCGTCGCACTTTACCAACACTTTCTTCTCCTATGGCAGATCTGCGGCTGCTGCTGCACAGTAGACACGCGACCTCTATGGATCTGCCCTCACAGTATTCCACCAACTGCTCTTAGTTCTTCCCATTGGTCATACCAGTGGAGACCATATTCCCATGACTGTCTGCTGCAACATATAATTTACATGTTGTGTGTAGTACAGTACTAGGGTCCTGCATCATGATCCAGTGGCAATGCAGGCGTCCGCATTTTAAATTAGTTCCAGAGGGTGGCGCACCTTGCACACAGAGCTCCATGAGACACCAACTCCCAGCTCATAAAAGAAACAAAATAATGGAACATACCCTCCAATAACTCCGTGGGCGCTAACACAGTAGAGCAATTCAGGCAAGCAGCTGTGATGTCAAAGGCACAACCCATGATGAAGTTGTCAGCACAAACTCTTTAAGTATTCCAGAATCTGAGTAAAACAACTGCTAAGTTAGCTACATTTTTAGAGGCGCACATCACCAACTTAATTAACCCAATTTTTTTTTTAAACGTCTATTCGATTAACGCCTAAGAGGTCCACTGTAATTGCACACCACCTGTTAAAGTGCAACTATAGATGGGTGAAGCCACTAAGGGCTACGTGTGTCTTCCCTCTTGAGATATCGGCACCTGTTGCTTGAACTTCGGCTACCAATCGAGATCCATGCCCAACCACCAGCAGGTCACCAGCATCCACTTCAACTATCGCATATTTGAAATAATAATATGCGAAACAAATATACGTGGCATTTTTTTTCAGACAAATATGCCTAGCATCACGGGGTAAATCGTCCTTATTACATGGGGAACATACCATTCCATTAGCGATCTCGCATATACGGAAATTGATACAAATCACAGCAGCCCTGGACTGGCACGGCACTCCGTTGTGCTGTGTGGAGTGGCTGTGCTAAGGAAAAATGTTGATCGTCAACGGAAACCTATTTTAAATAACGTTACTAAATCTAGGCCATTATAATTATAATGCATAGCGGAGATGGTATAAAGGACATTTTTGTCCTTCTGCCGATTTCCATTACTCATGGTCATGAGACGCTCGTAAGCAGTGACTGACCCAGTGGAAAGCATTTGCTCGCATTCCAAATGCCAAGGAAGCTGCCAAGCAGGTGTTTCTTCAAAAAGGCTGCTAAATTTATAGCAAAATGCATCATACCCCAGTGGGCTCATGGCTCTAAATAACAAGAACAACATTTAAAACCTCTAATGTAAAAATATTTGTGCTAAATATGGGAAATATTACACCATTCCAATATTATTATGTGCGTTTTCTATCTTCATAATGTACATACTAATCTCTAAGCGGTGTCTGTGACGCATTCATTTGTAAATACTGCGACCTATTTTAAGACCGTTTGCACCCTCAAAAACATATGCAACACAAGCTCTGTAACATTTGTTTCCACTCATCAGACAGCGGTGTTGTGCAGGGTAATGAGTGGACATGGTGCATTATGACATGAACCACTCAGGGCTTTAGGATGATGTGTTTAAGGCACATTAAAACTGGGAAAGCTGTTGACAAGCAAAATACAGCTAAAACAGGCTTCCAGTAAACATTAAAAAAATCGACGTCTTCATGACATTAGACTTTTCTAGCCCCAGAACAAGAACATTAACAGTGCACATGCCGAGGCACGAGTGCCAGTTGGCTGCACGTGATCGACACAGCCAACGTGTGGTGGTGGTGGTGGTGGTGAGAAGAGCCCTAACACCGACACAGCTCTTGCTGTCACCCGATCAAGAAGAGATCCCCCATACCCATCGCAGCTACTGAACGAAGTGCAGCGGAATGAAGGCCAGACACTACCCAAACGCAGCCTCCACAATAACAGGTGTTCATTACTCGTTAACAAAATCTTGCGACATCGTGCAAACACAACATCCAAACTTTCCTTTTCAACAAACTTGTGCGTCAAAACGGTTACACATTCACCATACCGTGCTTGCCATAAAAGTTGGCAAGTGTAACTTTCAACGTCGCTGCCTTTGAAATCCTGCCGAAATTCATCCTTTTTGAGATGCAGGCCAGGCTAGAGCGTGGCCCACGGGGTGCAGGGAGAGCGATGCGGGCAATGCGTGGCCCGCACTGTGGTGTCACAGCAGCCAGCTCTCTGCCCTGTGTCGACCGTGGTATGGCTGGAATCCTGCCTCTTCTACATACCCGGGCCTAAATTGGGCACTGGCAGATGCCAGGCGCACACACCGGACTCACTCTGGAGGCACATACGTCCACGCGGGAATGTGCGGAGTCTTTTTCGTCGCAGCAAAGTGTCGTGCCCAGCCAATAAAGAAGCTGACAACACAGCGCACAAGCTGCCACTGATACAAGGCTGGCTGCGTACCTCATATATATCCATGTCTGTTTATGCACTAGCCACCACAAATCCACGTTGATTTCTGTAACTAGATTTTTCTATGGATGGGTTTTTTTACAGTTGTCCAAACCATCTTTGTCTACAGGAAATTATAAAAAATGTATATTGATCAATGCTTTGTGCTATAGATTGGTTGTTTTTGCACAAATTTATTTAGTTTTTCTTCCAATTTCTAGCTGCTTTATTGTTATACTTTGTTTTATTTTATTGCCTTTGTTAATGTTGGTGACCCCATGTCACTCTTGCAGGTGAGACTCTCATGGTCTCTTGAAGTCTTACCTGGTTAAACAAAATAAATGTTAAACTTGATCCTAATCCAAACCAATATCTGAAGAAGCCACACATGAAACAAATAGGAACCCGATCCCATAAGAGCGAGAGATGAATTCACCCATCCATGAATGCAGATGTGTACAAATATTAATCGAGTTGGGTGTTGCTGTACAATATATATTTTTTAAATTCCTTCCTTGAAGACACAAACATTCAACCATCGGCCTTCACAAACCTAAAGGAGATGTGTAAATATACATAAGCTTTGGAATAGGTGCTCACCAATTGGCCCAAAAGAGAACTTTACCCATACCCATAACAGTCATCGTTGAACTCGATGTTTAACCAAATCAAAATTACACTGACGTAAGTCTGTTTTCACTGCGTAATTTTTTTAGTTTATTGGCCTATGGTCAATTTGGACCAATTTTTTCCTGCCACAATTGTCTAAGCAGGAAAACTCTGGTCTAGTTTTCACTCCCGATTAGCACAGTTGGCTACGTTTGGTGCAAAATAAGTTCAACATACATACAGAAGACTCCTTGAGTGTCATCAACAGTGTGACCTATTAAAGATTCTGCAGTTTTCTGATGTTACAGCCATGATTATATCAGGAACAGCACAGGGCACCATTCCCTGCATCCAGTACCAGTGTAAATAACTCACGATTCACTACCGTGCTGATTAATAACACTGGTCAACACACTTTTTCTGGCATAAGGTATTCCAACGGTTTTAAGGTAATTTTGGGGTGCTGATTCCAAATCTGGCATCAGTTTTTGTCTATCACATCAGGTTTTTGAGATATCAAATATTGCATTTTCAATAAAAACTGCAGAAGAAAAATATTAAATAAATGTGGATATCTACATAAAATGATATTATAAACACACTATCCTAAAAATACAGCACCATATTTTAACACTAAAGCAGTCACTGACTCGCAACAACTTGCAATCATAAGTGACAGAGTTAATTTCGGGTAAAATCAATGAAAATGGGGTATGCCGATACCATAAAAATGAGATGTGATAGAGCAAATCTGAGATCAGATTTAGAATCAGTACCCTGAAATTAATCTAAAACAGCTGCAAAAGTCCAGGCCAGAAAAAAAAAGTTTTATTTTTGTTGACCAGTGTAATTTAAGCTGTGCATTGCTTGTTTTTAATACTGGTGAATGAAAGTCCACATCATCCAACATCGCACTCAAGAGTCTGTGCAGAGACAGTATTCAGCCGCTTGACAGTTCTCATGACACACCCACCCATCTTCCTGACACTGCAGGAAACTGAGTCAGTCACATCAGGCCAAGTACACGCTGAATCACGAAAGTTTAAATGCCTTTGAATAAAGTCCGCCAATGCTCTCACTAATTTTACCAAAAACCTAAGCCAGCTCCAGGTGACATTTTTTTTTATTTTTGGCTGCTTCAGGAACCAACATAAACTGGACCAGCCCTCAGCAACAAACACATTAAAGACAAGCACTACCTGCACCGTGTGCAAGTTTGCCAAGTGACAGCCCTGCATGTGTTCCCCATTCCACATCCATGGCAAGGCTCACTTAAGCATCTCCAACTCGTCCTACATAATGGCCAATCAGGTGGTCCAGTGGCAGAGCGAGTGACTCGCAATCGGCAGGATGTGAGTTCAAATCTTGGTTGGAGTGTGCATCGGTCTGTGAGGAAGTCAACATCATGCCATAAAATGTGCAATTGTCCACCATTAGCTCTGGGCTCTAAATAGCAGATGAGTAGATGAGCACCGCATCAACGCTCATTGAACAGTAAATAAATTTGGCTTCATAACGGCAGCCACTGTGCTTGGTAGGACATGCGAAGCCACTCCACTTCTGCTGCACAGACTGCCAGAGCTTCCCCTGCCAAATTATCTACTCGACTCCTTCCCCCACTGAATATAAAGAACGAGCATTTATCAATTGCCTCTTATGGTTTGCGTTGTATCCCATAAAACCGGTTGTTTCATGTATATATTAGACATGTAAAAAAGGCATCGGTTCCTTGGATGAAATAAACTCCTACACTCAGGACACACGAACCAAATCAAGCATGTGAGTACATACTATTTGCAACATATGGAAACTGTATGCAAAATTATGATAACATAGAAGAAATTGTATATTCTTTCATTCTTTC